TTTTTGTATGAAACGTTTCTTTCCATCATTTATAATTAACAAATTATAAAAGAAAATTGTTGAAAACGTCAAAATTTCTATTTTACTTAGGTTGGGTTGGTAGTACTGATTGGTGGATTAAAATAACTTATTGCATATGCTTTTTGAGTTAATTCTAAACCTTTTTTGTACGAAACATTGCTCTCCATCAGTTATAATTATTAAGTTATAAAAAAATTCTTGAAAACGTCAAAATTTCTAATTTACTTAGGTTGGGTTGGTAATACTGATTGATGGAGTAAATATCTTTATTCAATACGTTTTATGAGTTAATTCTAAACGTTTTTTGTTTGAAAAGTAATTCTCCATCATTTATAATTAATAAGTTATAACTGAAAATGATCAAAAACCCCAAAATTTAGTTTTATTTTTGGGTTGGGTTGGTACTAACTGATCGATGGGTTAAAATAACTTGTTGCATATGCTTTATGGGTTAATTATAAACCTTTTTTATATGAAATGTTTCTTTCCATCATTTATAATTAACAAATTATAAAAGAAAATTGTTGAAAACGTCAAAATTTCTATTTTACTTAGACTTGGTTGGTAATACTGATTGATGGAGTAAAATAACTTATTGGATACGTTTTATGGGTTAATTCTAAACCTTTTTTGTACGAAACATTTCTTTCCATCAGTTATAATTATTAAGTTATAAAAGAAAATTGTTGAAAACGTCAAAATATCAATGTTTCTTAAATTGGGTTGGTAATACTGCTTGATGGAGTACATATCTTTATTAAATACGTTTTATGAGTTAATCCTAAACGTTTTTTGTTTAAAAAGTAATTCTCCATCACTCATAATTAATAAGTTATAACCGAAATTATCAAAAACCTCAAAATTTGGTTTTATTTTTGGGTTGGGTTGGTACTGATTGATTATTACTTGATTTTTTCTTCTTGTGTTCCTTTCGTGAGGAGAACTAATCCGCAGATGAGATCCCTTAGTCCGATTCCTCGAATTGTCCCTCCACAGGCGTTGTAAAGAGCCTCGGCTATCGTGACGGGGACTCCTTCTCCAAGAACGTTTTGGATAAACGCTTGTCGGCTGAGGAGGGTGCCTCCCCCAGACAATCGTTTAAACGCTTCGCAAACCCTCTTATATTCAGGATCGGACACTAAAAAATCCAAAAAAAAATTAATATCCATGAATTGAAAAGATTAGGATCAAAATAAAGTGGCGTAAAACATCGAAATCTTTAGATTACTACGCTTAAAATAATCCCAAATAAAAACGTTTTGATTCAAATCGAATATTTGATAAAATCAACATTATTTAGATGACGTCAGAGAGTTGTTAATTGAAATTCACGCCAGGTAAACATTATATAGTCCCACATTATTTGCTTAAATTCATTATTTTGCGATAAGATTACGGTTTATTTTCGCCTTGCTCTAAAAAAAAAAGAAATTTTAATAAAAAAAAGTAAAAATAAATAATTTAAAACGCCATAAAAATAGCATAACAATGATTCACAAAGTTTTTCTTAATTAAAATGACGTCAAAACGACTCAAATTAAAGTTTGTTCAAAGAAAAATCATTAAAACAATAAGTAAATAATAAAAAATGGAAATAAATCGAAAGAAGTCTTGGAGTTATGCGAAAATATGCGCCAAGGTCGTACGCGTTAATGAGACAACAAAAACAAAAAAAAAAACACAAAACCCAACATTAAAAAGGAAAAACGACATGTTTTTACGTAATCGAATTTTTAATTCACTCAAACTTACTTTCTTTGACTCAATTCGGTTATTAACTTCATTCAAAATCGAAAAGGGGGCTTTAAATTCCGACTCGGTTTTGTTTTGATTTCATTTTTTTACTTAACTTTTACGTTATCAATAATTTAATTGTAATCTTATTATCCATAATTGGATGACACACAATTACCCAATGCGAGAACAAAACGACGACACAAAAACAACGTTTCCAAATCATTTTATTTCCGTCACATGATAGGAAATCGTTTGAATCGCAAAAAAAATACGTTAAGTTACGATCCAAATCTTTTTTCCTGCGTTTATTTTGCGCTCTCGACAAGGGGGTGAGGTGCTGGAGGGTACTCACTTCGTTTCTGGGCCTCCTCGTAGCTGAGACAGCTCCGTTTAGAGTCTTTCGCACCCATTTTCTCACCGATCGCGTTTCAATCACATTTTACACGTCCGATTTTTTTGAAAAAAGGCGAAAAAACTTTTATTTGATGGCGAAACGTCAACCGATTCACTATTTACTGATTGACCATCGTGAAGTTTGTGCGTTACTAACTTCATTTTGTTGGTAACTCGTTTCATTACGAACAAGCAGCGCCATCTAATTTTTTTTTTTAATTATTATAAAAATAAATAAATTAAAAATAATAAATAAATAATTTTATACCATTAAAAATAAATAAATTAATTAATAATTACCTTAATTTGATTTAATTCTAATTAAATCGTTAATAAGTGCCCCCTACCAAAAGAAGGAATTGGTCTCAAAAAAAAGGAATCTATTTTTTCGTTTTCCTTTCATATTGAATTTTTACATTAAATTAACGTAAATAAACGAATTAATAACAATTACCTTGTGATAATTAAGCAAAAATTCGAGGAAAATCATTATTTTATTTAAACATAGCTTTTATAACAACAATAAACAAGAATTATGACATAACCTCAATGCTCGTTTCGTTTTGCGGGGAATTTTATTTTATTTTTTAATTTATGTTTAATTGGGTTAAACTAAAAGAAATTTAATTACAATTTATTTTTATTAACGAAATAATTAAAATTAAAAACGAAAATCATTAAAAAATATTATTTTATTGTAAACGTCAATTTGTTAAAGTGACGTTTGACATAACCTCGACATTTTTTATGATTTTTATTTTAAATAAACAATTAATTTAGGAAATGGGTTAATAAATACCTTTTTATAATGCCTTAAATATCAATTTCCATCTTTTTGAATCAATCTTTACGTTAATTATGCATTCTAAAAAGATTAAAAATATAACAACAAGAATAGTGACATAACCTCAATGTTCGTTTCCTTTGTGGGGGAAATTAGGGAAATTTTATTTTATTTTTAAATTTATGTTTAAATGGGTTAAATTAAAAGAAATATAATTAAAATTTATTTTAACTTATGAAATAATTAAAATTAAAAACGAAAATCATTAAAAACGATTATTATCAATACATATTTATTTGTCAAAATGACGTTTGACATAACCCCGAAATTTTTTATGATTTTTCTTATAGATAAACAATTAATTAAGGGAATGGGTTAATAAATGCCTTAAATATCAATTTCCATCTTTTTGAATCAATTTTTTCGTTAATTATGCATTCTAAAAAGATTAAAGATATTATAACAACAAGAATAGTGACATAACCTCAAGGTTCGTTTCGTTTTGGAGGGGAAAATAGAGAAATTTTATTTCATTTTTAAATTTATGTTTAAACAAGTTGAATTAAAAGAAATTTAATTAAAATTAACATTTTTAATCAAAATCATTAAAATTAAAAAGGAAAATAATTTAAAAAAATCATAATTTGAATATAAATGAAATGAGTATATTCTGTGTTAAAACACACCAATTCGTTACCAACCTAAGAATTAAACAAAAATAAATTTAACGAAATAATTTTTTGACATTTCCATCTGTCAAATTAATTTTCGTGGAAAAGCCGAAAAATGAGTTTCCAATCGACTCTTTATAACTCGATTTTTAAAAGGACCTCCACTTTGGTGGCTGTGGCCGTTGTTGGGGCGTTTTTCTTCGAAAGAACGCTCGATTTAGGCGCCGAATCCATATTTAATTCGATCAATAAAGGGGTACGTTACATAACATAACCTAAAAATTTTTTTTAATCCGAATTAATAAATCATTTTGTTGCAGAAATTATGGAAAGATATTAAAGATAATTATTCCCAATGAGATGTTTTAGTTAAATTAAAAAGAATGTAGTTATTTATAATAAAATTTATTTCAAACTAATTTTTTTATTCGTTGATTTCCCAAGGTTTTTCTGGTCGGTGTTGATCCCATGGTTTACTGGGTTTATATTGATCCGGCTCTTTTAAAACAACCCCGTTATCACTCAAAGTCTTTAAAAACCCCGCTAATTTCTCCTGATTATCCCTCGGCTCGTAATCGCAATAAAACTCGATTATTCCACACTCCAAGCATCGTTGAGCTAAAACTCGAGCTAAATTAACGTAAGCTGAGTAATCTGTGAGGCCATAAAGCTGTTTTTGTAAAGCCCATTCTTTAGTGGTGGCTTTTAAAACGACTCCGTTTGTGAAATGAGATATCGTTGCTGTTATATGCCTCCGATTAACCGAAATTTCCAATCTAAAATTAAATAATTATTACAATTAATTGAGAGGTGTTTAATCGAGTTACTTGTGCCAGAAATTTCGCCCCTTTTTATCGACATGATATCCATCCGGTTTATAACCGATTCGAAGTTTTTCTAAATTCCTCGGGTTCCGGTTCGTTAAAATTGGTGAAATTTGTTGAATTGAAGTTGAATAATGTTTAATTCGCTGTAATTGTGGGAAAAATCGGTGAAAATTGCTCGAAAATGCCATCTTTTAATCGCGTTTGATTTGGAAAGTGAGGTTATGTTGATTAAAAAAGTGGGGTTAATTTTTTTAAAATTTATTTTTATCGTTCATTTCCAATTTTAATACAATGTCTCATCACCTCTAATAACTTATAAACTAAATCTTGCAATTCTTGGGTTGTGCATAAAAAATCGATCGAATCTCGTTTATTTGATTCCGATTCTTTATCCCAAGTCTCAGTGATTAAATTAATACTAAAAATGGGTCCTTCCTGTAATCTTACATCACTCGACTACAACAAAAGTTATTATAATTTAATTAATTAATGATGAATTGATTAATACTTTAACAACAAAATCCATTTTCCATTTAACATCAACGATGTTGGGTAAATGAGTCCCAATGTTTCCTAAAATAATTTGTAACTTAATCCGGTTCTTTTCATACAAATCGGATAAATATTTAGCGCGATTTGAGCTAAATCCGCATTCGTTAGAAAGGATATTAATGAGAGTATCCGATCGGAGATCATTTCGAGCTGCTTTTGCTATTAAAGTTAAAAAGGCAGCGTGAATTTCTTTAGCTACATCGGGTTTTGATATGTTTAAGCTACTTATATCTAAAAAAGAAGTTGTTTTAATTAAATTTATTTCTAATTAAGTGTTGAGTTACTTGGAACGTCTGTGACCCTGCAAAGTTCGTTGAAACAAATTTCAACGAGATTTTTATAAACCTGATCGTTTATTGTGTTAATATTGTTTGAAAGCGACAAAGATTTCTTTAAATCTTCGCTTAAAATCATTTTTCTTAACAATAATACTTGTTAACCCCAAAAAAAAATTTTGACGTTTATGTCAAGGTCATTTTAAATTGAGTTTTAGAAATAATTAATTTATTTTATGTTTTAAGCTTAATTATTTCGTTAAATTACATATTAATAAACATAATTTAATAATTTTTTTGTTATAAAATAAAATTTAACATTTTAAATTATAATCAATAGATGTCGCAATTAAATAAACGGAAATAGATTTGTTAAGTTGGTACTAACGGGAAGTTAACCTCTTTTCTGTTCGTCACATTGCTGTGTTGACGTTGGTGAGTATAAATATCGCATTTTTAGTCAATTTTGACCGTTTAAACGCTAATTTCGCATATTTTCCACGATTTTAGTCATAATCAAGTAATAAAAAATGGGTAGATACGCTCGAGAACCAGATACTCCGGCGAAATCCTGCAAAGCGAGGGGCTCGAATCTCCGCGTTCACTTCAAGAACACCGCGGAAACCGCAAATGCAATCAAAAAGATGCCGTTAAAACGCGCCGTTGCGTATTTAAAGAACGTAATTGGTCAAAAAGAATGCGTCCCATTCCGTCGTTTTAACGGGGGCGTTGGGAGATGCGCCCAAGCTAAACAATGGGGTACAACTCAAGGTCGTTGGCCGAAAAAATCAGCTGAATTTTTACTCCAGCTTTTGCGTAACGCAGAAAGTAACGCGGATTATTCCGGATTGGATGTTGATCGCTTAGTTGTTGAGCATATCCAAGTAAATCGTGCCCCGTGTTTGAGAAGGAGAACTTATAGAGCTCACGGTAGGATTAATCCGTACATGTCTTCGCCGTGTCACGTTGAGTTATGGTTACACGAAGGTGAAGTGGCCCCAGCGAACGCCGCAAAAACTAAAAAGACCACCGAGAAGACCACGAAGAGGGTTAAAACAGCTGTTTAATTGTATTTAAAGGGGTGTTTTAATTTGTAAGGGACTTTAAATAATAAAAAAAGTTAAATTAAATTAATTTTTTTATTTAAAAAGAAATTTTTATAAAGCTCAAGTGGTAACGGAAATTAAATTAAGATATAAACACAGCCATTGCAGAACAAAAAACGTTTTTGGTTATTTTTATTTTTGATTTCCTTTTTAAAATGAATCGTAGCGAACAACGTGCTTAAAACGGTGCTTAGCAAAAACCACCCGAGCTAAATTTACCCGTTTAAGCTAAAACAAAATTAACCAAGCACAATTAGAATCTCAACAGATTTCAACATTTCTATAATTTCGACTAGAAAAAATTATAAATATCGATATAAATTTTTATTTTAATTAATTTTATTACTTAAAATTATTCCTCTTCGTTCACTTCATCGTATTGGGCGAATTTTAGAAAAACCTGTTCTAAAGTGGTTTGGCTAAAACTGTACTCTTCGATTTCAAACTCCATTTTAGCTAAAATTTTTAATTATTTCCTAAATAAAATTAATCCGAGATGAAATTTACCTCTCTCCAATTCCATAAAAGCCTTAGCGAGCGATTTAACGCTTTTTTGGGGCACGCTAAACACCAATCGGTCCGCAAAACTTTCCTCGAGGGTCGCATCGACGAAAAGGTTATTCACAAAATTTTGCACCGATTGTAACCGATCTTTTTGACCAGGAGATGAATCTGAAGCTTTTAATTTAATCTCTAAGGTGTATCCGGCTCCGTATAAATTTTTTAGGTGTTGCGTTGACCCCAAACAACTAAAATCACAAATTTTTTAGGTTAAAAAATTGAATTAATTGTAATTAATTAAATTACCGCAATTCTCCTTTTACCATTATCCCAACTCTCGAACATAAAGCGTCGGCTTCTTCCATTGAGTGCGTTGTTAAAATCGCACCTCTTTTTCCCTGTTAAATAAGATTTTAAATTCAAATTAATTTTGAGGTTAAGTAAAAAACGTCAATGAGTAAATTTATGTTGGTAGTATTACTTAAAAATTATGTTGGTAATTCTGTCAAAATAAACTGTTGTAATAAATTTATTAAAAAATAATTTGTTGAAGAAGGATTAACAACAAAGTTAATAATAAATTGTGCTAAAGTGTATATTTAACGTCTTTAGAGGGGTTAGAACCATAACAAAGTCTTTAATAAGTAATAATATTAGGAAGAAACAACATAACCTAAAAATGGGGTCGAATCCTACCGTAAGATGGCATTAGCGTCTACACTGAAATTATTTAATTAAACTAACAATTTTATTATTAATAGTGGGAATGATGAGAAACAGCAATAACAATTATTACCAGTACCATTCTTTTAATTTAAAAAGTATAGATTCCAATTCGTATTATATTTTTTAATTTGCCGCTAACTTCAAGTTTTAAAGTTTGTTGACAGATTGTAACGCTTTTTTATGATAAATTCATTAAAAACAATCTGGTGATGCAGTATTAACAACAAAGTTAATAATAAATTGTGTTAAAGTGTATAATTAACGTCGTTAGTGGGATTAGAACCGTAACGAAGTCTTTAATAAGTAATAACATTGGGAAAAAACAACATAACCTAAAAATGAGGGAAAATGTAAACAGAAAAATTAATTTTTTGAGGAAAATGTATCAAAATTGGAGGTAATTTAATTAAAATTATCTCAAACAAGGAAATCTAACGATATTATTTAATCCAACACAATGTTGTTCAAGAATCGGAAGAGTTAGATTCTCTCAACGGCTTCCTACAAACGCCTGCATATACTTGAGACTTATTTTTTGATAAAAATGAGTTAATTTAATGCATTTTAATACTTTTAAAACTTAAATATTAATAAATTAAGGTTAAAAACGTTCAAAATTAATTTTGAGGTTAAATAAATATCGAGTAAATTTATGTTGGTAGCATTACTTAAAAGTTATGTTGGTAGTTCTGTCAAAATAAACTTTGACGAGGTTATGACGCTTTTTTTATAATAAATTAATTAAAAATAGTTTGTTGAAGCATGATTAGCAACAAAGTTAATAATAAATTGTGTTAAAGTGTATAATTAACGTCTTTAGTGAAATTAGAACCATAACAAAGTCTTTAATAAGTAATAATATTGGGAAAAAACAACATAACCTTAAAATGGGGGAGAATGTAGACACAAAAGCAATTTTTTGAGGAAAATGTATCAAAATTGGAGCTAATTTGATTAAAATTTAATTCAAAGCGTTTTAACACTTTTAAAATATAAATATTAATAAATTAAAGTTAAAAACGCTCATTTTTAGATTGACAGGTCGATACATAACCTCACTTATTATTTTACATAGTTTACTTACTTGAAAACTCGCCAAAATCGTATCCCATAAAAACCGCTTACTTTTCGGATCCATCCCGGTGCTTGGTTCATCCAATAAAACGACTTTGGGGTTTCCGATCATAGCCATGGCATAAGACAACTTCCGTTTAGTTCCCCCAGAACATTGGTGCGCCTTTTTATCGGCGTGCTCGTTAATTTGCAAGCCGGTAAGATACAAATCGATCATCCTGTTTTAAAATAAATCAATTAGATTTAAAATAATTTAGTTTTAAGGTTATTTACGTTGGGATAAATTTTTTTGGAACCCCCCGAATCGAAGCGTAACATTCCAAGTGTTCCTTAACGGTTATATTTTTCCATAAAGCGTCGTGTTGGGGGCAATATCCTAGGAGTTTAAATATCCTATCGGTGTTTTGTTGGATGTTGTGGCCGTCTATTTGAACGCGGCCTCTCGTAGGGACTTCCTCCGCGATTATAATCTTCATCGTGGTCGTTTTCCCCGCCCCGTTATGCCCCAATAACCCAAAAACTTCCCCGGCGTCCACCGCTAAAGATAAACTTTGAATCGCCGTTTTTATTAGGTTATTTTCATCGTCGGGTTTTCGACACGAATAATTTCTTTTGTATTCCTTATGCAAATTCTAAAAAAAAACTCAATTATCCTTTAATAATGACCAAATTAAAACGCCCATTACATGTACAAGAACTACCGGAGGCTCCGCAACCACCGTATTTAAAATATTCGAGACTTTGGTTCGTTCCGATTTCACATCGGCGTCTTCGTTCAACCCAACGTCTACGTCATCGGTGTTTGTTAACTCATCAGGGGTTATCTAAAAGATTAGAATTAAATTTGAGCTAAAAATTGATTCTTTAACTTACGAAGAAGCATTTAAACACTTCCGAGATGTGACCCCCGCTTTTTAAAACGTCAATTACGACCAAAATGATTGAATAAATCGGGATTTGAACGATTATCCCGATTAAAATCACGTAAATCTCCGTGGTCATGTAATTCGATATTGTTAAAGTGTTGCAAATATCTGGGACTCCGCAAATCATGTAGGTTCTTTGTACGTAGTAAAAAATTGCGTATGGGATGTACATCGTGTTTAATAAAGAAAAAACGGTGTGTAGAGCCATCACTACGCTTCTACCTAAAACAATAAAGTAATTTTAATTGGATTAATGAATAAAATTAAGAAAAAAATCGTAAAGTGAGGTTAGAACGGTTATTGTTTTGACAGATTGGCGTGTACTTAACCTCACTTATTGTTTAAATTATGAAATGTTATTTAATAATGATTTTTTTTTAATAAAAATTAATTATTATTTAATAATATTGTTGCAATATCATTTTGTAATAATAATTTTGTATAAAAAAAACGTTTTTATTACGATTAGTTATTAAAAGTTATGTTGGTACCACTTATAAGGTGACAACCTAAAATGACGCGGATTTTGCAATAAACGAATTAAAAATAAATCGTTAATAAATAAATATCATAATAAAGTGAAAAACGTTAATAATAAAGGTAGTGTGAAATTAATTAAAAAAGTTAATTTTGGGGAGAAATCGCAATATAACTTATAAATGTCAAATTAAAATAAATATTAAAGTGAGGTTAGAACGCTTTTTGTATTTTGTTTAAATTATGAAATATTATTTAATAATGTTATTTCTTAATAAAAATTAATTATTATTTAATAATATTGTTGCAATATCATTTTGTAATAATAATTTTGTATTAAAAAAACGTTTTTATTACGATTAGTTATTAAAAGTTATGTTGGTACCGCTTAAAAGGTGACAACCTAAAATGACGCGGATTTTACAATAAACAAATTAAAAATAAATCGTTAATAAATAAATAAATATCATAATAAAGTTAATAATAAAGTGAAAAACGTTAATAATAAAGTGTGGTGTGAAATATAACGTTGTAAAATTAATTTAAAAAGTTAATTTTGAGGAGAAATCGCAACATAACCTATAAATGTCAAAATAAAATAAAATTGTTGAACGTTTTTTGTATTGACAGATTACTATGTACATAACCTCACTTATTATTAAATGGAAAATTTTGTTTAAATTATGAAATATCATTTAATAATGTTTTTTTAAATAAAAATTAATTATAATTTAATAATATTGTTGCAATATCATTTTGTAATAATAATTTAGTATAAAAAAAACGATTTTATTACGATTAGTTATTAAAAGTTATGTTGGTACCACTTAAAATTTGACAATTTGAAATAAATAGATTAAAATTCGATTAAAATAGGCAAACTAACAAGATAAAGCAATAAATAAACTATTAAAATTATTATCTTACTTATTCCAAGCATATCCAACATTCCAACAACGATAAATGGAATTAATCCAATGCAAGTGACAGCGTTTGGCATGATGGATTGGGCCGAGTCGGTTTTATCGAACATATAAGTTAAGCAGGTGCTGAATAAAATCCCCGGGATGCAATAAAAAATGATTAATCCCCCAAGAACGATTAACGCAGGCCATTGTTGTAGTGACGAAACATTCTCAATGAGAATAATCAACAATAAAGCAGCACTAATCAACACCATCAACACAATTTGCACAAAGAAAAACGTCAAAAAATACATCCCAAGCGATAACCCATTAACTCGAAGCTGATTTTTCGCTTTAATCTCTCGATCGTAAACGATATCGATCGCCAATCCAATCGGAACCAAAACAAACAACATCCCCAAAAAACACGCCAACACAAACGTTGTGAAATTAACCCCCGGTGGTTGAGTCGTTAATTGAAACGGCTCAGTACTCACAACAATCGGTTTCCAATCATCGTCGAAACTTTGCATCTTATACAGCGCGTTTGTAATGAAATTAATCAAAACTGGTAAACTGTGCTGCATGGTATCGTTGTAAATGGCGGTTATATTAAATTCGGGGTCATCGAACACCGTGATATTAAGCGCGGCCATCTTCGGGGCGACGTCTAATAAGCTCGAAAAGTTTCCTGAATAAAACGTTAGAGATTCCGCCCCCAATTCCTGCTTAAACGGCGCCACGAAATAATCTAAATCTTTCTCCGTGCGGTTTTGAACGAGGAAGGTTGTTAAAAATCCGTAAGTTGATCCGTTTAATATCAAAGAATTCGATTTTGGGTGATGCGATTGCATCGTTCTTGGCAAAAAAATAACCCCAACCGCAGCAATAAGAAGAGGTAATCCAATTGTGATGTATAATTTACGAAAATCGCGTAAAAGGCGTAAAACTCGAAGTTTAATTAAAGCCGATAACGTTTGGGTGAAGTTCGGGGTCACATCGCAATGAAGTTCTAATCCTTTTATTTGAGCTAAAAATAAAAATTACGAATTAATTTAACCTAAAAAAATTAAACGTCAAAATTGACGTTTATACATAACCTATTTTGAGGTTAATTATTTCAAATAAAAAGATATTACTATCATTTAGCATCCTATCCCGATCCAAAGAATTAGTTCCCTCATTTTGTAACGAATGATAACTTGTACTTTTACTTTGCAAGCTTAAACTTCGACTTAAAGCGCGATCTCGCACCATTTTTTTCGATAAATCATCGACGGTTTCGTCGTTTTCTTCTTCGTTCCGTTCTAAGTGGAGAAAAACTTCCTCTAAGGTTGTCATTGATATTCCATAACTCGTTATTCCCAACGTTTTTGAATCGCCACTTTCTAAAAATTTTAAATAATTAATTTTTAATTAAAATTGTTATTTTAAAATCACCGAATCGTCCTTGTTTCGATATTTCAGCTTCAATCGCAGAAAATAACGATGCAAAACTATCGACATCGTTGTAAGGTAGAATAAAGCTAAGTTCTTTTCCGTGTCTCCGCGCTTTTTCGGCTTTCGGCACAAAACTTGATACCAACCCAACGATTCCATCCTCTCGATACCCGTTTCCGAGTACTAAAGTTAAATGGTACCCAATTCCGAATTTATTTTTTAAAAATAACGAGCTTCCACAACAACGTAATCGTCCTTTTGACACGACAGCTTTCCTTTCTGATAAAATATCGGCTTCGTCCATAAAATGGGTTGTTAAAACGATTACTTTTCCATGCCGGATGTTTTGTAAAACCGACCACATATGACGCCTTGAGTAGGGGTCAACCCCCGCGGTGGGTTCATCGAGAAAAATAATTTTTGGATCACCAATAATCGCAATACCAATCGATAATTTCCGTTTTTGCCCCCCGCTTAAGTACTTCGAGAAGGCATCGGCTTTATCCCCCAAATCGATGTCTTTGAGAATTTTTGCGATTTCTAATTTTCGTTTGGCCGAAGGGATCCCTTTGATTGATGCGAAAAAATCGAGGTGTTCCCGAACTGTTAAGTTATCAAAAAGGATGTCGTGTTGGGGGCAAACTCCGGTCATCCGGCGGATTTGATCCATATCGTTTTGGTTGCGGATGTCGTAGCCGAAAATGAAGGCTGTGCCGGATGTTGGTTGAGTTAGGCCGGTTAACATGTTGATTAAGGTGGTTTTTCCAGCGCCGTTGTGGCCCAAAATGGCCGTTATTTGGCCTTCATATATTGTTAGGTTGATTCCGTTTACTGCTCTTAATTCGGGTTTACGGCAACTCTGAAACAATTTTAAAAATTAGATTATGTGGATAATTAATCCATAAAATATATGGAATAAACGATTTTATCCCATCAAAGGATGTTACCAAGTTATAGGGGAAAAATTAAAAAAATTGAAATATCGATATTTTGATTAAATGAGGTTATATCTCAAAAACTAAAAGAGATGGGGAGAAAATTTATGGATGAAAAATGATCCTAATTAATCCATAAAATATATGGAATAAACGATTTTATCCCATCGATCAATTCTACCAACTTAATTTAGTCGAAACGTAAAAATTCAAAATTTCGACGTTTTTGGACATGAAAAAAGGTTATAATTCACGAAATAAAGGAGATGGAAAGATGTTTTATGCACTAAAATGATCGCAATTAACCCTAAAAATATATAGAATTAACAATTTGATCCCATCAAAAAATATTACCAAGTTATATGGGGAAAACTAAAAAAATGGGAAAATCGAGATTTTGATTAAATTAGGTTATATCTCAAAAATTAAAAGAGATGGGGAAAAAATTTATGGATGAAAAATGATCCTAATTAATCCATAAAATATATGGAATAAACGATCTTATCCCATCGATCAATTCTATCAACTTAATTTAGTCGAAACGTAAAAGTTCAAAATTTCGACGTTTTTGGACATGAAAAAAGGTTATAACTCAAGAAGTAAAGGAGATGGAAAGATGTTTTATGCACTAAAATAATCGTAATTAAGCCTAAAAATATAAGGAATTAACAATTTGATCCCATCAAAAAATATTACCAAGTTATATGGGGAAAACTAAAAAAATGGGAAAATCGAGATTTTGATTAAATTAGGTTATATCTCAAAAATTAAAAGAGATGGGGAAAAAATTTATGGATGAAAAATGATCCTAATTAATCCATAAAATATATGGAATAAACGATTTTATCCCATCGATGAGTTCTAAATTTTGACATTTTTTAATAAGAGAAAAGATTATAACTCAAAAAGTAGAAGAGATGGAAAGATGTTTTATGCACTAAAATGATCCTAATTAATCCATAATATATATGGAATAAACGATTTTATCCCATCGATCAATTTTACGAACCTAACCTAGTCGAAAAGGAAAAGTTCCAAATTTTGACGTTTTTGGACATGAAAAAAGGTTATACCTCGAGAAGTAAAAGAGATGGAAAGATGTTTTATGCACTAAAATGATTGTAATTAACCCTAAAAATATATGGAATTAACAATTTGATTTCATTAAAACATATTATCAAGTTATATGAAGAAAACTAAAAAAAATGAAGAATGGAGGTTTTGATTAAATGAGGTTATATCTCAAAAATTAAAAGAGATGGAGAAAAAGTTTATGGATGAAAAATGATCTTAATTAATCCATAAAATATATGGAATAAACGATTTTATCCCATTGATCAATTTTACGAACCTAATATAGTCGAAAAGTAAGTTCCAAATTTTGACGTTTTTGGACATGAAAAAAGGTTATAACTCGAGAAGTAAAAGAGATGGAAAGATGTTTTATGCACTAAAATGATTATAATTAACCCTAAAAATATATGGAATTAACAATTTCATCCCATCAAAGAATGTTACCAAGTTATATGGGGAAACTTAAAAAAATTGAAATATCGATATTTTTATTAAATAAGGTTATATCTCAAAAACTAAAAGAGATGGGGAGAAAATTTATGGATGAAAAATGATCTTAATTAACCCAAATAATATATGGAACAAACGATCTTATCCCATCGATCAATTCTACCAACTTAACTTAGCCGAAAAGTAAAAGTTCCACATTTTGACGTTTTCGAATATGAAAAAAGGTTAATAACTCAAGAAGTAAATGAGATGGAAAGATGTTTTATGCACTAAAATGATCGCAATTAAATCTAAAAATAGATGGAATTAACAATTTAATCCCATCAAAAAATATTACCAAGTTATATGGTGAAAATTAAAAAATGATGAAATGAGGTTATATCTCAAAAATGAAAAGAGATGGGGAAAAAATTTGTAGATGAAAAAGTATTCTAATTGACCCAAAAAATATATGGAATAAGCTATTTTATCCTACCAACTTAACTTAGCCAAAAAGTAAAAATTCCAAATTTTGACATTTTTTAATATGAAAAAAGGTTAATAACTCAAGAAGTAAATGAGATGGAAAGATGTTTTATGCACTGAAATGATCGTAATTAACCTTGAAAATGTATGGAATTAACAATATTATCCCTTCAAAAAATATTCCCAAGTTATATGGAGAAAACTAAAAAAATTGAAAAATGGAGATTTTGATTAAAAGAGGTTATATCTCAAAAACTAAAAGAGATGGGGAAAAAACTTATGGATGAAAAATGATCTTAATCAATCCATAAAATATATAGAATAAACGATTTTATCCTATCCATCAATTCTACCAACTTAACTTAGTCGAAACGTAAAAGATCCAAATTTTGACATTTTTTAATATAAAAAAGCTTATAACTCAAGAAGTAAAAGAGATGGAAAAATGTTTTATGCACTAAAATGATCGTAATTAACCCTAAAAATATATGGAATTAACTATTTAATCCCATCAAAAAATGTTACCAAGTTATATAGTGAAAACTAAAAAATGATGAAATGAGGTTATATCTCAAAAATGAAAAGAGATGGGGAAAAAATTTGTAGATGAAAAAGTATTCTAATTGACCCAAAAAATATATGGAATAAGCTATTTTATCCTACCAACTTAATTTAGTCGAAACGTAAAAGTCCTAAATTTTTGAGTATAAAAAACTTATGAATAAATAAAAATTAAAGATATTTAGTGTAAATAAAATTACTTTAAAAACTTTAACTATATCAGAAATACGAATCGCTTCTTTTCCTTTCATCTCTGACGAAACCATTTCAACATCGGGGTTATTTTCCTCATCGTGGGAAATTCCAGTTGGAATTTTTTTCCTTATATCCTTGGGGAACCAATACGATTTCGACAAGAAAAAGAAAACCGGTCTGCGAGTTCCGTGTTCGGCTAAAATAATTTTTTATTAGTTATTTATTAAAAATTAAATAAATGACTTACTTGGAATTATACTATCTAAGTAATACGCTAGTAAGGCATACAAAAAAATATCTAAGATCATCATTATTAAACTTCCACCGAAAGGAATTCCAGGGCCAGACCACATATTGTCCAAATTTAAACCGATTCCGGCCATATCTTGAACTAAAGCCTTTAATATAACATTAATATTAAATTAAGTGTAAAAGTTAAAGTTAAAAATAAACCTTATCCATTGCCAAGGCAAATCCGGACGAACTGATCAATGATAACAGCCAAAATAGGCACGTTTGGGATTTATCAACAAACACTTGGATGTAATATAAAAAGCTCATTATTGTTACAGCGAAACTTCCAATAACACCGGCAGTCTAAAAATTAAATAAATAAATATTTTACAATAATAAGTGTATGTAAAATTTACTCTTGATTTATCGAAAAATGGTGTTATCATAAATCCAAACATGATTATAGTATAAGAATACAATGTTATTAAAAGAAACAACAGCCAATGATTAGTGTGCGCAAACACTTTCAATCCGTACAAAATAAAGCAGCAAATAGCTGAGAGTATTGTTACGAAAATTGCGTAAATTACAAACCAAGATAACCTAAAATACAACATTAAAAGTAGTGTAATATAATTAATAGTAATTACCAAAAAGCTGAATCTCTTAATCCCATAATTTTCATCCCCTCTTTAATCTTTTTTTCTTTTTCCCCAACGATTAAAATCAAAAGGTACGTTATAAATTGCGAAACGGCCATAACCATGTATAAAGGGATTACAATTCGAACTGCCAATAACCAATCGGCTGTATAAGCAGCTTTAGGCATGATTTCCAAGGATATGTGAGGAACATGGATGTCGTTTCTTCCGGTATCATACTAAAAATTAATCAATTTTATTAATTAGATTAAATTCACAAAAACTAACTCATACCCTTATTTTTGTATAATCTAATAAAGCTTGTAACGCAACAAATCCCGAATAATAATATTGATTAACCGTACAACTTTCCCCAGACTCAATAGGAAGTAATTTCGACCAATGACTCTCGACTTGTCTACAATTCGCGGGTGATGTAAATAACTCCGTAGTTGATGGGCTTTGCGAAACGGCGGGGTTAATTTTAATTTCATAAATTAATTGCCCATTGAGAGGCCCCGGTTCCTCGAAAATCACCGCTAACGGTATCGATAGAGGATCCTGCCAATAATTCGTAACCAAATCTTGTTTCGTCGCAAATAAACTCCAATCGATCGGGTACGATCCCGGATCTTGATGCATCGTTTGCCACAGCTCGTTAACGAGGTTCAAAAATCTCTGAACGTCCGTTGTGTTCGGAACGACGGCAACCGTGTGGTTACGCAAGTTTTGGAAATATTCGAAAATGTTTGCCTCGCCTCTCGGGGTTTGTATCGACGGGAAATGCGGGTTTGGGATCACCAATTTAAGTAGGATTAAAATGCTTAGTGTGTAGAGGGGCAAAACGATTTCTGCGGTTGTTTTTCGTTTTTCGCGCTTTTTTAACAAATAGTTCCTCCATACCATCGCTTTTAACTGTTTAAAGAACGTGGCTTCCTTAAAATCCGTCATTTCGTATCTTTATTTACGATTTAAACCAAAATTAATTTATTTTTTTACTATTACAATCGTTTCTATCACTTCCAGGCGGGGACTAAAACATAAATTAAAGAAATTTGAATTTTATAAAAACATTTTTTTACCACTAAATCGGCCATGTTGCGTCAATTACAAAAAAAATTGACACAAACCACCAAGATTTAACACCACACCCCGAAAATCACCGAGTGTATCACTAAGTAACTTTTTATTTGGGATAAAAGGCGATTTTAGTGTTATTTTGAAGTGTTTTTTTTTAAAGGATTTTTCGAAAGGGACGCACTCTTAGGGTCACTTTGGGGCTAACTGGAACACATGCGCGCCACCGGAACACAACGACGACGACCCCTACGTTTTGCGGAAGTCCTCCAAATCGATAATTCGACCCAAAGTTTTCTCATATACAGGAGGGGGTGACGTTTAAACGTTAAGGGTTGCAATTTTTTTAAAAAATTTAATTTAATTTCGCCGTTTTAATCGCAAATCTGAAATAAAGCATAAAAATGATGTTAATTATTAAAAATAAAAACAATTTATCGAGGAAATAACATAAAAAAAAAATTTTAGATACGTTCTTTTAGACCACCTTTATATGGAGTCCCCCTTTTTTAATATAAATAATTAAGGGATCGTTTTCCGCGATTCTAACGATTCTAACGCATTATTTATGAATAAAAGGGTGGCTTATAACTTATAACGGATTGATGAGTAATAAATTTAATGATTCATCGATTTTTTTTGCAACAAATTTTTTTTTTATTTTTTATATAAATAAAAGGATGTTTAGGAACTTACCCGGTTTAAAGCGAAATAAAATGGGGCGAATCGTTTTCGGGGGATTGCTTCGATAAGAAACGTAGGGAAAGAAATAATTTCTTGGGAATTGAGGTTATGTTTACAACGTTTACAACAACGTCATATTTAATACATTTTTGTTGTAACGAGATTTTTTTTCGCATCAATTCTTTTAATTTCTTGAATTAACACAATCATTTCGATTAAATTTGCTTTATAAAAAAAGCGTAATAATCAATTTGAAAGGTTATGTGCGAAATTAATTAACGTCATAGATGGCGCTAAAATCTAATCATAAAATCGATTTGATTTAAAAATTAATTAATTTTTATTTTATTTAAATTAAATAATTATTAATTAAATTTAATTAGTTTATTATTAATTATTTTTATTTAAATAATGATATTGATAAGTTAGTGATTTTTATTTTTTTAATGTTGGTAGCGATAAATGCGTTTCAGTCAGTCTGTGTTTACATGATTGCGCGTTTAAAAGATTTTCGCCCCAAAACCACCTCGTAAACTAAAACAAATCGATTTATCCCCTCAAAATAAAGCTTAAAGTGTATTAAAATTAATCATAAATAAATTAATCGCGTTAAAAGCTCGTATTTTAGCCGCGAAGTCGCCATCTTGGTTAAGAGTTCTGTCAAAACTTTGGCTGACACACACACACATTCTCAATACAGTTCCGAACTGTCAAATCGCGCTTTTTTTGTAAGTAAACAATAACAAGTTTGGAGTAAAAAAGCGTCGCGGAGCCTCCGCCGAAAGGTCCCCATGTGACTGTACCTTTTAAGGGACTCGAAACGCGTCCTCAAAGCTCCCGAAGATGTCGCGAATATTTAGTGGGTCAGCGCTTACCAATATGGGCATAATAACGTTGCTGCGTTGAATAAATGGTTTTTAAACGGGGCCACGATGTGATTGGCGCCGATGAGGACCGCCCGATGATGCCATCAGTTAAAAAGGTCCCGCTTAATTCCATCAAGGACCAAATTACTTGCAGCCTGTGCAAAGGATACTTTATTGATGCAACCACGATCATAGAATGTCTCCACACCTGTAAGGAGTTAATTTAGGGATTAAAATCAGTGTGATTTATTGATTTTGTTGTAGTTTGTCGGTCTTGTATCGTCCGATATTTGGAGACTCACAAATATTGCCCCGTTTGCGATGTTCTTGTTCACAAAACGAGGCCCCTCACGAATATACGACCTGATAAAACCATGCAGGATATTGTGTATAAATTAGTTCCAAGGCTTTATCAAGGTAAAAGTGATTTTTTGAGGTTATGTGTTATAAAAATGTTTTTTTTTGGTTTAGAGGAGATGTGTCGAAGAAGAGATTTTTATATCTCGCACCCCGAAGCGACCCCAACCGTTTTGGAAGAAAAAAATGAAACATTGTACGATTATATCTTATCCCCGGAAGATAATGTGTGCGTTTCGTTGAATTATTATGGCTCAAAAGTCTTACCAAGGTTCGTTTTGTTAAATTAGACTTGATTTGTTATGATGATTAAAATTTTAGGTATTTGAAGTGCCCAGTTGCTGTTACGGTGGGGCATTTGAGGAGATTAATCGCTGGGAAATATGATCTAACTGACAAACACCATGTTGATGTTTATTTTAATGAAGATTGTCTTTATTCGTACCTGACTTTGATGGAGGTTGCTTATATTTATAATTGGAGGAGGGTAAGTACTTGAAAAGATTGGAATTTTGTGTAATAATGATTAATATTAGTTTGCCCCCTTGAAATTAACCTACCGGATATTCGAGAACCGTTCGAAGCGACCAAAACTTGATTCTGATGACCCCAATTCGATGAATAACAATAATTGGAAGGAGGTGCAGTTGAGAATTAGTGAAAATGGGGAGATAAGCGTCACAGGGATTGATGATGATAACTTTAATGAACAAAATGTTACGAAAAATGCGCTTAAAGTCAAAACAAAAGTGAAAATTCGAAATTTATCAAAGAAAAATAATAAGAATGTTGAAGTTAGGAACGTTTTGGATGAGAGGAACGAGCATCAAAGAGTTTCTGGAGATAATGATGTTGAAATGGATTCGATTCCTGCAAAAAGTGACAAAGAAAATGGGAGAAATGAGAAAAAAATTAGATTGAATCGACTAAAACGGTTAAATGATGGTGAAAACAGTGAAGGTGGTCGTAAATTAAATCGAAACTTAAATCGGGCGGGTAAAAAACATCACCGCGTGAAATCAAATTCGAATCAGGAAGAGAAAAACGATTGTGTTGTTAAAAGTGACGAAAAAGGTGACGAAAAAAGTGTTAAAAGTGAAGAATTACGGACTGAGGAGCTAAATGTTGTTGATAAAAAAGGTTTGGAGGAGAAAGAAAGAACTGAAACGTCAAAAAAGGCAAGTTTGAGTGAAAAAGTGAGGTTAAGTGGTGATGAAATTAATAAAATGGATGTTGAAAAAGTACAAAGTGAATGTTTTAATGTTGATTTAAGTAAAAAAGATGGGTTGGGGAAAAAAGATGTTGTAAATAATAGGGAAATAATGAGCGATAATCAAATAATTAATGATGAGAAAGTGGGTGAGGTTGATAAGGATGAAATTAAAAGGGATGATGAGAATGTGAAGGTAATAGAGGAGAGTAAAGATGTGGTTGGAAATGAAAGTGTGGAGGTTGATAAAGGTGTAAAAAAAGATGAAATTGATAAAAAAGATGTTAAAAATGATGTAAAAAATGATGTAAAAGATGATGTTGATAAAAATGTTGATCAAAATATAAAGAAAGGAGTAGATAATGTGAGAAAAGATGTTGATGATATAAAAAAAGATAAAATTGTAGATGATAAATCTCTGAAGGAAATAAAAAATTCTAAAGAATTCGATAAATTTTCAAATTTATCAAAAGAAATTGATAAAAATTCAAAAGAAATCGATAAAAACTCAAAAGAAACGGATAAAAACCCACAAGAAATCTCAAAAGTATTAAAAATACAAAAACTAACCTCAAAAGACGAACATAACCTCAACCTGTCAAATCAAAATCAATTAAAACCGCCGATAAATCTACAAAATCAATCTCAAAACAAACGCAAAATCGACGAAAAATCCGATTTCGAGCCCCAATCGAAACAACCAACGATTTTAAATCACACCCTAGGATTACAAAATCTATCAAATAATCACCCGTTAAAAAAACACTCGATGATAACATCTCAAACGAGTTCAAAATGGTCGGAGAAACCAAATCCTCCATGTTATAGCCCGCGCACCACCACATTTGGACCAATCATTAATGTACCGAAGCCCCAAACGAGTGTTAAAGCGAATAAGCCCCAAACGACGATTTTAAACAGTAAAGTTCCGATTAAAAATAAACCATCGACTCCGATTGGTTATAAAACGTTGCGGGACCCCCCAAGGAGTTGGAATCCGCAGTTATCGAGGCCCGTTTTGAATCGAGGGGTCGCCGGGGGGAGTCAAGGTGATGGGTTAAAAAACGTGCGCCCCCCTAAATTTTTTAAAATCCGCAATAATATGCCGAGGTATTTAGGAAACCCCGCCTCGGGGGTTAAACCGATGTATCAGGTTCACGATAAAGTCGAAAAAGATGATAAAAAAATAGGAAAAGAGAAAATTGAGAATATTAAAAAACATTCGATCGTTAAAATTGACCCAAAAACGTTAAAACCGATTTCGGAGAGGGCCCCCGAAACTTCGAACTTAACGAGGAATTTAAATTTGGTTCAAGATTCAAATTTAGATTTAAAAATTAATACCAGTTCGGTTTCGATTTTTAATCCGTTGAAGTTGCAACAAACGAGTTCGAGTGGGAGTCCGAAGAGTTCTGATCGAAAATCGCCGAAAAGTCCCAATAAAATCCTTAATTTCACCCCCCCAAATCCTTTCGTTCCAAATTTGCAATCACCGACGATTTCGCCGAATCAATTTTTATTCCCCGGGCCGTTTAATTCGTACGATCCTCGCATGATGGCGGCTTATCACAGCTTTTTATACGGACAAACGCGACTTCCGTTTCATTTAACGACAACGACCACCACGACAACCTCAACGGCGGCTAAATCAAATTTCGAGGTTAAAAATAATTACGAGCTGTCAAAGTTAACGCCATCTACGAGTGCGAAATCGAATTTAAATCAAGGTTCGATTAAAAAGGGTAAGGAAAAGGAAAAAAGCTTACAAAACGCCGTTGAGAAGTTAACGCAAAGTAAATTGTTGTTGAAGGAGAAAGAGAGTTGTTTGGTTGAGGGGAAAAGTGGCGAAAAAAGCGGGGTTATTAATAATTGTGAAAGTGAGGTTAAGGATAAGGAGGTTGTCAAAAATGGGGAGAATAAGGACGATGAGAAGAATAAAGATGAGGAAAAAATTAGTAAAGATGATGTGGATAAAAGCTTAAAAGTATCCAAAGAGGAAGAAAAATAAATGTTTAAATAAAAAAAGTGCCTAAAATAATAATGTTAAAGAAATCATCCCAAAAAAAAAAGCACCAAATTCAATTTGAAAAGGAAAAACCTTTGGATTGTGCCTTTAATTTTAATTTTCGAATAATGAAGTAAAAGGGATGTTAAAGAAAGGGTCTTAAATCTTAAAAGGAACAAGTTTTCTGTCTACGTAGCAATTTGTGATAGAACTAACTAAAAAATATTTATAACTACTTAGTTACATGACAACGTTGTACAGTGGCGGAGAAAAGTCTACGTACAGCATATTATGTAAACTTACGTCCGTCACTGTATTTCTTTTTGTTTTTAAGTTATCTTGCTGTAAATTCGAAATTGCTCAAAACGAACACCCAAAAATTAAATTAAAACAAAAAAGATCCCAAATAAATCTTAATTTTGATTTGTAAATAACGAAAATTATCTTTTTAAAAGTGGTGGTTTGATTTTTTTCTTAAATAATTCGGTTCTTTTTATGATTTTTGTATAGAATCTTTGTTTTTTTTCTTTGTATTACATGAATGTATAAATATAGAAATAGTTTATATCAAAGTAGAAAGGTTTCACTGTTTTTCTTTTTTATGTTTTAAAAAAAATAATTATCTCTCGTGTAGTGAAAATAAAAATAACTCGTAGGTTATTTAAGAAATATGTAAAAAAGGATTAATCAATTAAACGAAATAAAAAAAAACAACAAACAATAAATCTTATCTTGTACATTGTAAATAGATCGAGCACAGATTTTAATAAAAAATATTGTATTTATAGTTTTTTGATCAAAATGTTGTTTCATTTTTAACCCAACCCTTAATTAATCAAGTAAAAATCAAAAATTGTTTATAATTAAAAAAAAATTAAAAGTGGCGACATCTATTATTCGTTAAGTTAATTTAAAATAAACTTACCTTTATTAAAATAAAATTATAATTTGCAACATAACCTCACTTTTAATGATTTAAATGTTATTTAAACAAATTATGACTTACCTCGTATTTTTATATTAAATGATGATGAATGTAAGGGAATCATGCCAAAAAAGGAGATTTAAGTACTTTAAAATCGTGAAAATCACTTAAATTAACCTTATAATTTAAAATAAATCGGGTTTCTTCACAATGACACATAATAAGTGGCGCCATCTATTATCTAATTCACAAAAAAGTGGAACGATTAAAAAATAATTATTTAATTATGATAATTAAAGTTTTTTATCACTAATTGATTAAGGATTTAGTGAAATCAATGAATAACGATAATTTTATTAAATAATTTAAAAAAAAAACATATTTATACATATTTTGACAGTGACATCTATTATCATTTAAAAATAAAATTTATTATTTATAAATAAATAATTGCTTAATTATGTAAATCGGAGAAATAAAACTAATAAAATAATGTTTACAATCTAAAAATACATAATGATTGAATAAAGAAAAACTTACCCATGCAATAACATCACTTTTAAATTAATAACCTTGATTTTTATTTAAAAAAAACACATCTAAAACCTTTTTTATCCTAAATGATTAAATATTTGATTAAATTCTCAATAAATAACAACAAATTAATTATTTAACTACCAATTAATTTAAGTACCAACTATAAAAAAAAAATATTAAACATGAGAGTTTTTAAATGTTTATGTTATTGTTAGTATTTCAATTAATTTTAATTGCATTATAAAAAATTATGTAATCGGAATTAAACTTAAATTTAGATATTTTCCTTTTAATAATCAATAAATTAAATACTTAAATTAATACCAACACAAAAAAAAATTTAAATTATTAACCCAATCTTTTTATTTAATTTTTTTTAATATAACCCATTACCACCAAAACATCATCAATTAAAAAACTTTTATTACTACATCTAAATTTTAAACTTAATTAAAGACAATCTTTAGGTTTATTCTCCCCAAACTTCCCACATAAAACCTTCAAAAAATCATTATAAGCATCTTGGCTTTCACTCGGCTCATATTTTCCGTTAAAAACAACCGTAGGAACCGATTTAAGCGGTTTTTGGAAATCCCCGGTCAATTTTCCGTATTCCGCCAAAAATTCTTCACCTAAAATCACAACATAACCAAAAAAAAATTTTTGACGTTTCGATTCTAACCTTGATTATTTTTGGCGCATTCCTCAACTTTTTCGTTATCTTTCCCCAAAACGTCTTTACATTTATCGATAGGGGCTCGTCTTAATTTATTTTCATCGAAATAAATATTCTCCATCATGCAATTAACGTATTTTAACGAATCGGTTTCGTTTTCGACCAATTTTAACGCACAACCGTGATATTTATTCCCAACGCATTCAAATTCGCCGTGGTGGCAAGTAAATTCGAATTTCCCATCTTCGATCTCTTTAGTCTTTAAAATAAAACGTGAGTATTTAAAATTTTAAACTTAAAAAGTCTTACTGTTGATTTTCCGTAGGGGTAAACGTTTAATTTGATGTTTTTTGCGATTTCTTTGCTTAAAGTTGGGTATAATTGTTTGGTTATGAATTGTTTTGAGTCTGGGCATAAAGATTCGTAATACACATCGATTGTAATCTGAAAATAGGTGATTTAAGGCGAATTTTTATTTAATTTTTTTTTTTTTTTTTAGGTTACCTTATCTGGATTTTTTGTGTTTTCGCAATTAGCGATTGCAATAAATGCAAGAAGCGCGTAAAAATACATGTTGTCTCGTGAATTGATGAACAAAGAATAACCTTTAGCGTTTGGGTTATAAAGAACGAGTTTTGTGCAACTTTCTTAAATTGGTAGGGATAATTAACATATTCTTTTGTAATCGGAAAAAACAATCAAATAAAAGGCTTAAACGTAGTGAATGAAACAACTTTGGCCTATTTCGAGTTTAATTATAAACAATTAACGCAACAAATTAAATTTAAATTAGTAATAAATTAATTAATTTCGTCTTTTGAATCATAGATGTCGCCGCGATTAAATCGAACGAGAAAATGGCGTCGTGTTGATATAACGCGTCACAATTTTTCGCGTTTTAACCTAAAAAAAATCTTTAAGAATGTCCGATTCCGAGGCGAGTAACTTTTCGGATGCCGAATCCGACCAAGGCTCGAATAAATCGTCGCGGGGGAGCGCAAGGAGCCGTTCGAGGAGCGGATCCCGCTCGCGCTCCGCATCGGAAGCCCGAGAAGGAAGCGGCCACGAAGACGTCGAGGACGAACAAGAACCCGATGGAGATTCGTTAAGGTCCGACGATTACGATAGCGAAGAAGATGATAGTGACGAGGATCACGCGAGGAAGCGTAAGAAAAAAGATCGGATTCACGATTTTATTATCGATGAGGCGGAGGTTGATGATGAGGTGGAGGATGAGGACGATTGGGAAGATGGGGCCCAAGAAATTGGGATTGTTTCGAACGAAGTCGATGAATTGGGGCCCACCGCTAGGGATATCGAAGGAAGGAGGAGGGTTACTAATTTGTGGGAGTAAGTTAAAAAAAAATACAAAAATTGAGGTTATGTTGATTAAATTTTTTGTTGACATTGACATTTAAAAAAGTGGTGCCAACTTATTTTTTTTTTAAATTAAATTAATTTATTTTATTAATTAGTGTACAAAAAGAGCATGAAATTGAGGAATATTTACGAAAAAAATACGCGGATGATGGCCCGGCCGCGCGGCATTTCGGAGATGGGGGCGAAGAAATGTCGGATGAGATAACCCAACAAACTTTATTACCCGGAGTGAAGTAAGTTTATCTTATTTATTTGTTTAATAAATTTAAAATGATTATTAATTTAGAGACCCAAACTTATGGATGGTAAAATGTCGAATTGGCGAAGAAAAATCCACCGTTTTATTATTGATGCGAAAATTCCTCGCATTCCAAAACACCAACGAACCCCTCCAAATCAAATCAGTGGTAGCCCCCGAAGGTGTAAAAGGTTACATTTACATCGAAGCTTACAAACAGCCCCACGTAAAAGCGGCAATCGAAAACGTCGGAAACTTACGAATGGGAATTTGGAAACAACACATGGTTCCAATCAAAGAAATGACCGACGTTTTGCGCGTCGTTAAAGAACAAACGGGATTAAAATCGAAACAATGGGTGCGATTAAAACGGGGCCTCTACAAAGACGATATCGCTCAAGTCGATTATTTCGATATGGCCCAAAATCAAGTTCATTTAAAGTTATTACCTAGGATTGATTATACGCGATTAAGAGGCGCTTTAAAAACGACCCATTCGGAGAATGAGGCTGAAAAGAGGAAAAAAAAGCGTCGCCCCACTTCGAAACCTTTCGATCCGGAAGCGATTCGAGCTATAGGAGGTGAAGTAACGTCGGATGGTGATTTTTTGATTTTTGAAGGAAATCGGTATTCAAGGAAAGGATTTTTGTATAAAAATTTTACTTTAAGCGCTGTAATAATAGATGGGGTTAAACCGACTTTGGCGGAGTTAGAACGATTCGAAGAACAACCCGAAGGAATCGACTTGGAATTGTCGACGGAAAAAGATGAGAAAACTGTGACTCATTCTTTTAGCGCTGGAGATAACGTTGAAGTCTCTGAAGGGGAATTAATCAATTTGCAGGGGAAAATTATCTCGATTGATGGCACCATGATTACGGTTATGCCGCGACATAACGATTTAAAAGATCCTTTGGTGTTCCAAGCGAGCGAGTTGAGGAAATATTTTAAGATGGGCGATCACGTTAAAGTGTTGGCTGGGAGATACGAGGGAGACACCGGGTTGATTGTGCGAGTTGAGAATAATCGGGTTGTGCTTATTTCTGATTTAACAATGCATGAGATGGAAATTTTACCCAAAGATTTGCAATTATGCACGGATATGGCGAGTGGAGTCGATAGCTTGGGGAAATTCGAATGGGGGGATTTGGTTAATTTGGATTCTGAGACTGTTGGGGTTATTGTAAGATTGGAACGAGAGAATTTCCATGTTTTGAATATGCACGGTTGGTATATTTTAATTTATTGATTTCAAAAATTGCCGTTTTTTAGATAAGAATCGATTATAACTTGAGAATTAAAAGAGGTGGGGGGAAATGTTTGGGACAAAAAAAGTTCCTTATTAACTTAATTAACATGCTACATAAACAATTATATCCCATCAATTAATTATATTGAGATAAATTTGTTAGAAAATGAATATTTTAATTTTGACATAAGAATTGGTTATAACTTTTTAATAAAAGGAGGTGGGGGAAAATGTTTGGGACAAAAAAAGTTCCTTATTAACTTAATTAACATGTTACATAAACAATTATATCCCATCGTTTAATTATATTGAGATAAATTTGTTAGAAAATGACTATTTTAATTTTGACATAAAAATTTATTATAACTTTTTAATAAAAGGAGGTGGGGGAAAATGTTTGGGACAAAAAAAGTTCTTTATTAACTTATTTAACATGTTACTTAAACAATTATATCCCATCGATTAATTATATTGAGATAAATTTGTTAGAAAATGAATATTTAATTTTTGACATCAGAATTGGTTATAACTTTTTAATAAAAGGAGGTGGAGGGAAATGTTTGGGGCAATAAAAGTTCCTTATTAACTTAATTAACATCCTACTTAAACAATTATATCCCATCGATTAATTATATTGAGATAAATTTGTTAGAAAATGAATATTTTAATTTTGACATAAAAATTGATTATGACTTTTTAATAAAAGGAGGTGGGGGAAAATGTTTGGGACAAAAAAAGTTCCTTATTAACTTAATTAACATGCTACATAAACAATTATATCCCATCTATTAATTATAATGAAATAAATTCGTTAGAAAATGAGTAATTAAGAAATTGGCTTTTTTGACATAAAAATCGATGATAACTTTTGAACAAAAGGAGGTGGGGGAAAATGTTTGGGACAAAAAAAGTTCCTTATTAACTTAATTAACGTACTACATAAACAATTATATCCCATCGATTAATTGTATTGAGATAAATTTGTTAAAAAATGAATATTTTAAAAATGGCGTTTATGACATAAAAATCGATGATAATTTTTTAATAAAAAGAAGTGGGGGAAAATGTTTGAGACTAAAAATATTCCTTATTAACTCAATTAACATATCTATCCCATTAATTAATTATATCATCATTAAAAAAAATTTTATCATTACTTTTTTTTTAGGAAAAATCGTTGAATGTCGCCCCTCATCGCTTCAAAAGCGCCGTTTAAGCAGATTTACCGCCGCCCTCGACTCCTACCGTAACAACCTCCACCGTAAAGACATGGTAAAAGTAATCGACGGCCCCCACTCTGGATTCTCAGGCGAAATTAAGCACCTTTACCGAAATTTCGCCTTCCTCTACTCAGTCGAGTTCTTACAAAACGGCGGAATCTTCGTTTGCAAAACAAAACATCTCCAATTAGCCGGAGGAAGTAAAAGTTTACCCCTCTCCGATATGTCCGGGGGGATGGAATTTATGTCCCCACGTCGTAGTTCCCCGATGCATCCTTCAAGTGGAGTTGGAGGAGGCGGTGGGGGAGGAGGAGGAGGAGGTGGAGGTGGGTTCGGGGGTCACCGTGGAGGTGGAGGAGGCGGGCGAGGAAGAGTAACCCGCGATCGCGATTTAATAGGAACAACAATCAAAATAATTAAAGGCCCTTACAAAGGAAACATTGGAATCGTTAAAGACGCGACTCATAACACAGCGAGAATCGAGCTACACACGGCGTGTCAAACAATTTCGGTCGATAAGAAACACATCGCGGATGTTGTCCAAACTAGCCGTGATGGGAGCGCTTCGAGTTATGCGAGAACTCCAGCTTATGGAGGGAATCAAACTCCACTTTATCGCGATACCGGGAATAAGACTCCAATGTGCGATTCGGGATCGAGGACTCCATTACATTATGGGTCTATGACCCCGATGCATGATGGATCAAGAACTCCTAATGCCTCATCAGAGTGGGATCCAACAGTTTCTAATTCGTATCCATCTCCGGGGTATAATCCAAGCACTCCAGGGTACCAAATGAATGGGCCTTTTACCCCACAAACTCCAGGTACTATGTATGATACTGGATTTAGTCCATTTCAACCAAGCCCGGGGTATCAAAGTGTTGTTTCAACTCCAAGTCCCGCTACGGGTAAATACAACATTTCTTGGTTAATTAAATTTAATTAATAAAATTTTTTTTTAGGTTATGAACAATCCCCGGGAAGTAGCCACCCATACAACACTCCAAGTTCTAGTTATAGCCCTAACATGCCGTATCACCCCCAAACCCCCGGTTCAAACATCGACTCACTTCCTTTAGTTGATTGGCACACGGTTGATATTGAAGTGCACATCCGAGACACCCACGAAGACCAAGGCCTCGCGGGGCAAACCGGGGTTATCCGCAGCATAAACGGCGCGATGTGCTCGGTTTTCTTACCGGAGGAGGATCGCGTCGTTAATATATTGAGCGATCATTTAGAACCGGTTCGGCCGCAACGCGGCGATTTCTTCAAGGTTATCGTTGGTGAAGAGCGCGAAGCCACCGGGGAGTTATTATCGATTGATCAACAAGAAGGGGTTGTTAAAATTAAAACGGATATTAAGATGCTTCCGTTGCATAAGTTGTGTAAAATGAGGAAACCCGAACATTAATTGTATGTTTTAATTTTTGATGTTAATAAAGAGTTAGAAGAGGAGAATAAGAAAATTTTTGTTTTTTTCGTTGTATATTTCCACCTTGCTATGTTGTTTGATATAAATCTTGTAACCGAAGCGTATTAAGCCGAAGCCGCTTGCGGCTGAGGCAGAACATAGTTTAGCACTAGTCTTTTGTTGATATGATATTAATTGTAGTGTCTCAATGTATTGTAAAATACGTCAAATCACGTTAATACAGTATTAAGCCGAGGTCGCTTGCGACCGAGGCAGTGATTTGTTTAACACCAGCCTTGTGATCTTAAATTAATACAATGACATCGTGTATTAAGCCGAGGTCGCTTGCGACCGAGGCAGTAGTTTGTTTGACATCAGTTTTGTATGGTATTAATTGTAGCGCCTCGCCTGCAAGCGACATTGGCTTCATACACGATGTCAGTGTGTTAAGCCGAGGTCGCTTGCGGGCGAGGCGCTAGAGTTGGTACCATATCAACATAAGGTTGGTGTCAAACAACCACTGCCTCGCCCGCAAGCGAGCTCGGCTTAATACAGTGATATCGTATGTTAAGCCGAGGTCGCTTGCGGCCGAGGCAGTGGTTTGTTTGATACCAGCATTGTGTTTATATGGATGGTATCAACACAAGGGTGGTGTCAAACAACCATAGCCTCGCCCACAAGCGACCTCGGCTTAATACAGTGACATCGAGTCTTAAGCCGAGGTCGCTTGCGGCCGAGGCAGTGGTTTGTTTGATACCAACCTTGTGTTCATATGGTATTAACTTTAGCACCTCGGCCGCAAGTGACCGGCAACAAACCAAGACACAAGACTGGTGTCCAACAAACCACTGCCTCGCCCGCAAGCGATCTCGGCTTAATACTGTATTAACGTATTTTACAATCCACTGCCTCGGCCGCAAGCGACCTCGGCTTTATACAGCGACAACGTGTATTAAGACGAGATCGCTTGCTGTCGAGGGACTGATTTGTTTGACATCAATCTTGTGTTGACTTCGGCTTAATACTGTATTAACGTGCTAAACGATGTTCTGCCTCGGTCGCAAGCGACCTCGGCTTAATACACTGAAATACACGATATCATCGTAATTAATTTAAGATTACTCACGGCCGAGGTGGTAGAGTTGATGCCATATGAACACAAGACTGATGTCCAACAAACCACTGCCTCGGCCGCAAGCGGCCTCGGCATTATATATCGAGTCGAGGCGTTATTGTTAATACCATATCAACACTCATATCATAAACAGAGATATGTGCTTAAAGTGATTTCTTCAAAGTAATTAGACTATTAATTTTGAATGTTAATGAAGAGGTAAAAAAGGAGAAATAAGAAAATGTAAATTTTTCTCATCGTATATTTCCATCTCGATCAAAAAAAAAAAAAAAATTAATAACGCAGCCGTTTTTTCTTTAAATTTATTTAATATTTTGAATATTTAAAGTGTATACGCATAATTCCCCCCCAATCCCCATCAATTTCACTTCGAACAAAACGAAACAAATTTAACCTTTCAATTCGCAATAATCAATTTTATTTTTTTTTTGGTGTAATATATCATTTTTCACGGATTTCGTATTACTCGTTTATTAAACAAAAATCATAATAATAATAATAATAGTATGAAGATGTAGGGGATGTTCTTCTTTTTATTTTTTTCTCGTTTATTAATTCACTTTCGAAGAAGAAGAAGCAAAGAATCAGGAAAGGGAAAGGAACCGGCCCCCTCTCTCTTCTTTAGCACTCCTGTTGTTGTTTTGTCGCTTGACCCTGGCTGCGAAACCCGGGGGGCGTCGAAATTTGCGATCCGAGCTCGGCCCCTAACCAATGCAAGTTTTGCTGTGCGAAATTGTATCCTTGCGATGGCTGTTGTTGTTGTTGCATTTGTCCGATGAGACCCCCGTTTGGGTGGTAACCACTTTGTTGGCCACCTCCAAACTCGAATTGGCGGGATGGACCGTTTTGTTGTTGTTGTGTCATTCCGTAGTGGTCGCGTAACGGCTGTGGGACCGACGATAAAGAGAAATAACGGCTTGATGATGATACTATCGCGGGATCTAGCACCTTCCAATCATTACATGCTCCCATTCCTTAATTAAAATAAATTAATTAATTTAATTTAATTATTTTTTAATTCATTTACCTTTATGTTGTTGTTGTTGTTGCTGTTGAGGTTGATGTAATACATTATTATAGCTACTGGGCCAATTATTTTGTGTCGAATTTAATTGTTGACTGTTCATATTTAAATAAGGTAAAATTTTGCTACCGAAGGAGTTCATGTGGGGCTGTACAAACCCCGGTGGGGGCGGCGGCAACATCCCATTACCCCCTTGACTATGTAACAACCCATTCATTTGACTCGTTTGTCCATTACTATTCGCTAAATGTAATTTTAAACTTTGATCGTTCTCTATTAACTCAGCCAATCCCTTTTGGGTCTCTTGAAACGGGTCAAAATCTAAATCATCTTCCGATCGTTGTTGTTTATTAACGCTAGGTGGAGCCACCGCCGTCCGATTACTCCCAAATTGATTTTGATACGAAAACCTTTGCTCCCCGTTTAAATAATGATTCCCTCCCGCACCGTGTTGTTGCATAAATTGGGGCCCTTGTTTCAAATTAAGCAATAAAAGCTGATCTTCAAGGTGACGATGACGCTGTTGATGCTGCTGTTGTTGTTGTTGGACCAACCGAACATGGGAATCGATTAACGACGAATTCCCATACCCGTTAATAACCCCGTTATGATTTTGATTCTGATAAAACCCATTTAAATGTTCTTTCGATGTCGTTTTAACGAAATCGTTAAAGAATTTCGAATCGACAAAGTTATCTTGGTAATAATTGTACGTTGATGGGGTGGTGGTCGTCGTGGAGCAACATTTTTGCCGGGCCAATTCCTCGAGGTGATTCGAATGCTTTGAAAATCCAAACGCCGCCTCCCAATCTTCGGCGGTGCTAATATCCGGAAACGAATCGTTTAAAATTTGTGATGGAAAGAGGGGGGTCGTCGATGAGGATGTTTCCGAGTCGTCCTCGCTGGGGGCCCTCTCCGTCGGTGGGATCAACAACTTTTGATACGAATTTTGATGCGAAAAAAAACTCGAATTATCATCTAATAATTGAACTACAACTTTAGATAACGTTGAAAGGTCCTGCTCTGAACTTTTTTGTTGTAACTCCGAAGAGGGCGCTTCTGAATCGTTTAAATCGGATTGGCGGGGAATCGTGGGACTTGGGGGTTGCTTTTTTTCCTTTTTGTTATTAATTTTATTGTTGTTATTGTTCCGATTATTACTATTTCCGTTATTAATGATTTTCTTTAGATTATTATCGACTTTTAATTCCCTTTTTTCTTCCTTTTTGTTATTATCGTTATTTATTAATTGGGGCCAACCCTCTTTTACACCATTATGAGGCCCCCCCGCCACGGTTAACGAGGTCTGCCCACCCACACTACTCGTGTTTACATTTATATTCACATTAACATTCACCGTTGTTCCATTATTAGAGCTATTCGTTATTGATGTGCCGTTCGTTTGATTCGTTGGGGCGCTATTAGGACTCGATTCTTTCCCATTTGAAACTTTTTCACCCCTTTTCTCATTCACTTCTATTTTTGATTGAGTTGTACGATTTAATAACGCCTCGTGTAATTTTTTTTCATATTCTTGATGTTTTCCCGCGTGCATTTGCTCTTTTGTAAAACTCGCTTCAGGATCGCCTTAAAAAAGATGATTAAATTAAGTAACGCCATCTCTTAATCGATTAACTCACCGAAATCATGAAGGTACATACAATCGGGTTTCGGACACGGTTGATTTTTCATAAAGTGCGAGCAATATTTTGTCGTGCCGAGACTCGATTTAATGTGCCGCCCGTCCAACGGGATGTTATTAACACTTTGTATGGCTCTTAACGCATCGTCGTTCTTCATATACGTCACGTACGCGCCTAAAATTGTTTTATTATTAAATAAAAACATTAAAAAAGCAATAAAAGCTTACTGGCGCTGGGTCCCTGAGAGCCTGCGTACGCCGTCGACTGATTTATCACCACTTTGTGTATTTTCCCAAACTTCCCAAAGTACTCGTGCCGTTTAAGAATCTCCGGGTCGGCTAGCCGCATCGGTAATCCAACCACAAACACCAAATTGCGCTGAACAACCCTTACACTACGTTAAAATGGAAACAAATCAACAAAAATTATTTAATTATAACAAAAATTGAAGGAGAAATCAATAAAAAATGATATAAAAAATTATAACCTCAAAATTTTTTTTTAAACGTCAAAAATTTTCTGTCTGTAGGATACTGTAATTGTCGATAATAAAGTAAGCTAGAATCATATCGTGTTGTAGCGTGAAAATAAACTGTAATACGTATTTAAAATAAGAGTCTGTCTGTTTTATTTAATACACAATACCGTCTTCGCGTTAAAATTGATTAATTCGATTTAAAATAAATAATAAATTAATTAAAAAAAAATACCAACCTCAAAATTTTTTTTAAACGTCAAAAATTTTCTGTCTTCGCGTTAAGATTAATTAATTTAATTAAAATTGTAACGAAAAAACATTAAATCGCGTTAAAAAAACTCAAATTACACTACAAAAGTAATAATAAATTGGCTAAAAAAAATCCTAACCTCAAAATTTTTTTTAAACGTCAAAAATTTTGCATTAAAATTGATTTAATTTAAAATTGTAACAAAAAAACATTAAATCCCGTTAAAAATCTCAAATTACACTACGTAAGTAATAATAATTAATAATAAAATGGTTAAAAGAAATCCTAACCTCAACATTTTTTTATAAACGTCAAAAATTTTGCATTAAAATCGATTAATTTAATTTAAAATTGTAATAAAAAAAGCATTAAATTGCGTTAAAAACTCAAATTATATGAAGAAAATAATAATAAATTAGTTAAAAAAAAGTCCTAACCTCAGAATTTTTTTTTAAACTGTCAAAAATTTGTTGTCTTTGCATTAAAATTGATTAATTTAATTTAAAATTATAATAAAAAAACATTAAATTGCGTTAAAAACTCAAATTATACTAAGAAAATAAAGTACTAAAATAAAAAATTTTTTTTAAATGTCAAAAATGTTCGTTTTTTGCATTAAAATTGATTAATTTAATTTAGAATTGCAACAAAAAACATTAAATTGCGTTAAAAACTTAAATTAGACTAAGAAAATAATAATAAATTGGTTAAAAAGAAATCCTAACCTTAAATTTTTTTTTAAACTGTCAAAAATTTTCTGTCTTTGTATTAAAATTTAAAAATTTAATCAAAATTGTAACAAAAACAAACATTAAATCGCGGTCAAAATCAAATTATAATAAGATAATAATAATAAATTAGTTTTAAAAAAAGTACTAACCTCAAAATCTTTTTTTAAACTGCCAAAAATTTGTTGTCTTCGCATTAAAATTGATTAATTTAATTTAAAATTATAATGGAAAGCTTTAGGTTGCGTTAAAAACTCAAATTATACCAAAAAAATTATTAACAAAGTGGATAAAAAAAATCCTAACCTCAAAATTTTTTTTAAACGTCAAATATTTTCTGCCTTCGCATTAAAATTGATTAATTTAACCAAAATTGTAACAAAAAAAAAAACATTAAATCGCGTTAAAAACTCAAATTATACTAAGAAAATTGATTAAATAAAAATCCTAACCTCAAAAAAATTTTTAAACGTTAAAAATTTTCTTATTTTGCATTAAAATTAATTAATTTAATCAAAATTGTAACAAAAAGAAACATTAAATCGCGTTAAAAACTCAAATTATACTAAGAAAATAATAATAAATTGGTTAAATAGAAATCCTAACCTCAAAATTTTTTTTAAACATTAAACATTTTCTGTCTTCACGTTAAAATTGATTAATTTAACCAAAATTGTAACACAAAAAGATTAATCGCGTTAAAAATGCAAATTATACAGAGAAAATAATAATAAATTGTTTAAAAAAAATCATAACCTCACAATTTTTGACATTTCAAAAAATTTTAAGGTTAGGGTTCTTTTTTCGCGTTAAAATTAATGAATTTAATCAAATTATAACAGGTTAGGATTTTTTAAAACTAATTTAATTACCTAGCAAGATGCTTTCTACTTTCAGTTTGTTTAGCTTTCCGTTGTTGATCCCTTTGCCTCTTTTCGGCTTTTAACTGAGCGACCTGCTCTTTAGATAAAGGAGTAAAATCGGCCGGATTTTCCGAATAAGCCTTCCGACAAGCGGGGCACAACCCATTCTCATCGGTGCGAATTCTATGCCAACAAAACCTGCAAATCTAACCCCAAATTTAATTAAGTAATCTAACGTCGAAAATTGCTTTGATTAAAAAATTTACCTGGTACCCACAAGTGCACGGATAGAAGTTGAGATCGTCCACCTCCAAAGGTTCCATGCACAACGGGCACTCAACCTGTTCTTCACCACTTTGATTCAATACAGACATCTCCTCGGTGGTTGTTTTATAACGTTTTAATAAATTCTTTTCCAGTTACAATCGCTTCGAAAATAATTATTTAGATTAATTCACCTGTTAAAGCAAGAAAAATTAAATTATTTGCTTCTCGATAAACGTTTAAAGATGAAAAAATGTTAAAAACGTCAAATGTGGCAACTGTCAAAAATGATTTGTCAAGATTAAAACGTCGCGTAAATAAATAAGAGGGCCCCAAAAAACGAATTAATTAATTAATATCAATTAATTACGAACATATTGCATAAAAAAGACCAGGTAAAAACTCAACACTCTCGATTTTTTTTCCTACGTCAGGTGTTTCGCGATGATTTAAACGTGTCGTTGGGTTCGGTTGGAATTTAACGGCGACGTGATCCGGGAACGTCCGGGAATCGATTCCTGGACGTTCCCGACCGAAAATCCATCGAAAAACCCAAGAAAATCCGAATATTTACTTACAAAATTTTCTGATAGGTAGATTTCAATATGGCGACTGATAATACGTGCGCAATAGAGGTGCGCACTCGCTCAAATGATCACAGCGCCACGTTCACACCGTTCGAAATCGGAACATTCGACCTAAAAACCACCGCGGAATTGGGGGCTTCGCCGAAACGAAATTCACCTCCCGTCACTTTTAATACGGCTTAATTTGTTTAAAACGGTCACCGAAAAGACAACAACAAAAAAGAAAGTTTTAATTTTGACGAATTAAAAAAATTATGACAAGTCGTACATTTCCTCTAATTTACGTTTTAACTAATATGTCAATTCGTATCATAACATAACCTTAATTTGGAAAGTGAAGAAAGAGAAATCCTCAAAGTGATAATTATTATAGATAATTGAGATCTTAAATAGATCGTAATAAATAAAATCGTATGGGATTGAATTGAAATGAAAAAGCTGACGAATTGGATAAAACTGGGAACAACAGGGGTTTATAGTAAAAATCTATATTAAAGAATTATATCGCCAAGATATTGATGGCATAAACCATCAATGGGAACTAAACGCTTAAATTTGGAATTAAAGATACCCCACAATGAGGAAATTAAACATTTTTCTTTGACATTTCAAAAAATTTATAGGTTAGGATTTTTTTAAACCAATTTATTATTAATTTCTTAGTAATAATTTGAGTTTATTAACACTATTTATTGAAATTTTTAATTAAATCAATTAAAAACCTCAAAATATTTGACATTTAAAAAAAAATTTGAGGTTAGGATTTTTTTAAAACTAATTTATTATTTTCGTAGTGTAAAAAATGATATTTTATTAAAAAAGTTAAATAAAAATAAATATAAAATTACTTCGTTTTAATTTATTTCGATAAATTCCCCATTTCCGTTTCACCTTCTTGGTCGGAATGATCTAAAAAATTATAATTTAAGCAATTTTAAAAAGTATTGTTATAAAACGAACCTCTAGGAGACGATTCTTCGGAGGTGGTTTGAAAATCGTATCCAAAAACGAACGGTTTTTTTATAGTCGATTTAGAGGAAAACTCCTCGGAGCTTGACCCAACCTTATATTTTCCAGCGATGCTCGAATGGCACGCAAACGAAGCGGGGTAATAATGCATCCTAACTTAACTTAATAAATAAATCAACTTAATCGATTTTAATTAAATTTACGTTTGAACTTGAGTCGGAACTTGAGATCTCGGCGATTCCGACTCTTCCGATGTCTTGCTTTCAGCCGTAGTCGACGCGGACGTCACATTGCTAGAACCCCCACTTTTCGGGGTTGTGTGTTTCGAGGACGATTTAGAACTCGAACTAGAAGCGCGATGAGAACCTTGCGATCTAAATTTAATTCAAAAAAATATTAAAGTGAGGTTATGATTATATAAAAGTGAGGTTATAATCAATTCAAATAAATTTACGGGTGTCCGCTTGTTGTAGATGAAGCAGCTACGTAATGCCCGCAACTTTGTTTCGTACAAGTAGCGGCTTTTCCACTAAAACAATTTAATTAATCAATTAATAATAAAAATAATGGGGTTATGTTATAAAAACCTTGCGGTTGAGCATTTCGTTTTTGTGGACCCCGTCCCGGACATGCATTTCGATCTGACGCTTGTGGAGGCTTTCGAGCTGGGCCCCCCGCCGCCTCCTCCCTCGATTAATTTCATTTGCTCGTCCTTTTTGATGCGTGCGGAGCGAATTCTGCAACATACGAAGCAAGCCCCCAAAAAGAACCAAATTATAATTGTAGCCAAAGCGGCCAATAAAATTAAATTCGATCGATTTTTCTTCGTTTTTGATTCGACCTAAATAAAAAAAAATTAATTTATTCATTAATTATGATGATTTTGATAAAAAATTATTAACCGGGGTCCCTCCTTCGTCGCTTCTTTGGCTTTGGCCCCCACTAACATCTCCAGCATTTCGATTCTCATTTCCGCTCGATTTTTCGCTATTAACTGGGATTCCTTCTAATTGGGATTTCTCATCGTCCTCCTCATTCCCTGAGTTGGATGATTCGGCCATGCTTTCTTTATCTTCCACCTCAGGCATGATGTTGTAGCTTCCAATCACGTTTAAATTCTTCACAAAACCCGATTGTTTCATCGTTTCTAAAATGCGGAGAACCCCGCCGAAGGCGGCGTAAAATTTCTCATCACAGAGATGGGGCAAAACTTTTTGTGTGATGAACCCGAAAAGTTTCGAGTTAAAATCGCTGATTGAAGTGGTTGAAGCGGCCGTATTATTCGTGTCTTTGCACCCCAAACATTTTGACGCAGCTATGTAGTACTTAACAAGAATATAAGCGGAGCTTCTTGCCTCGACGTTTCTTAAAGAATACGCTTTAAACGGGACTGCAATAGCTGAGGGGTGCGATTTTGAGTCAAAATAAGGCATCGGGATTTCAATTGATCCCGATTGAGCGGTGTGCCCCGAAGCTACAACTAAAAAATTGAAATAAATAAAATTTATAACCTCACTTTTTTTAAATTAACCTTCTTGGAAGATTAACCCAGCACAAGGGTCGTTATTACTCGCAATTTTGCGGTCTTTTAAGTTAATCGGTTGCGCACAAACCCTTTTTCCGATATCTTTCGGGGGTTTCGACCACCCAGCCCCGTTCGTTCTCAAATAAGTTTTTAATTCATCGTACAATTGGTGCACTTTAATCACGCTGTTGTAATCAACGTTGCCGGCGTAATAAGAATACTTCGCTAAAGGTAAAAAGAAATGCGTCATGTAGCCCCCTAAGGCGTCCGTGACTGCTAAAAGCATTAAATGTTTTATTTTCCCGCTCGTGTTTTTTCGCACCACCTCTAAAATCATCCGAAAATACTCCACAATATCGCTAATCATATCGTTATCGTTCACATTGAGGCTATTTCGACTCGGTAAAATCGCCTCCACCACCATCCTCGAGGTTAATAAGGCGAGTTGTTCGGAAGTCCAACAATCTTTGTGAGCATCCGATGGCGCAAAAAGCACCGTACCGATGTTAATGCCACGCTCAGATGCTGATAAGCACGAATAAATTAATGCAAAAAAGCAAATTAATCGAATCATGATTAATTTTTTTGACAACTTAATGTCAGAATTAAAAAAAAAATTTGTAATTAGTTTTTATTTGAGATAATTAATGAACTACAGGGTTTAAAGGCTCTGCTTTTATGCTTGATAAGTTCAGGCGGTTATCCAATTCTTCTTCAACTAATCCGATTATCGCACTAAAAATTAACCAAAATTAATTTCATTATTAATTAATTAATTAAGATGATTAATAAGTACACGTTATCCCCTCTGATGATGTGTAACCCAAGCATGACTTGTTCTATACCCGTAGTTGTGGAATAAACCCTCTCGTGGGACTCATCGATGATGATATTGATGGTTTGATCGAACCCTTTTAGCGTCCCCTATCAAAAAAGGATAAAAACGAATCAATTATAACGAATAAAAAGGTTTATTAATTAATTACAATGAAATTACGCCCATCCGAAGTAATAATAGAAACGGTATCTAAAAAAGTGAGGTTAAGTCCAACACAAAAATTTTATTAAAATTCTATTGAATCAAAGGATACGATTAACGAAATTATCTAAATCTGTAGCCATTTTCGACGATTCTAATAATTAATGATAATTACAACAATAATTATTATATAAATAATAATTACAATCTCAACTTAACCTCAACTCTATTAAGTTGATATAGCGACATCTTTGATTGAATAAAAATATTTTTTTTAATAATTAATTGATTTAAACGATTTTTTTGATTTAATTTTTATGTTTTAATTCGATTTTTCATAAAAAAAATGTTTTGTATAAAATAATAAATAAATTAATATAAATCAAGAACGAATTATTAAAATAAAACAGATACCTGTAATTTTTTTAACTGTCAAGTGATGGAAAAGAAAGTCGGAGGAAACGGGGGGCCCCCATCTGTCAAAAAAGAAAAAAAATCAGCTTCCATCTTGTTAGAAGAGCACTAAAAGGGTACTGCTATTAGTTTTAGTTAAAAGAAAAACTTTACGAAAAAATGGTGTGAAAAAAATGGTGTCGGGGAACCTCGTTTGAGATGATCCGCGTTGTTTAGGAAGTTGACGAGATGGATTCCGCGTCGGTGGATTTCACGTTGCAGGATGTTTTGGGTACGTAAAATTAGTTAAGAAAAGTAACCCCGATTTGAAAATTGAGCAGAAACTTTCTGCGCACAACCCCGATAAGGTTATGACGTTTCGCCCGAATTTCACCCTTAAAGAATCGAATTCGAATCAAATTCCTCAAACAGTTCGGTTTTAAATTTCGTGTGTATATCGAAAGGTCATAAAATTAGTTTGTAATAATTTAATTTTTATTTATTTAGGTCGATAGAAACAGAGAGAGAGAGAATTCCGTCTCTTTTTTCCCCTCGCCTATAATTCAATGTATTCGCCTTGTTGGTATTAAATTACTTGTGGCGATAAAAGAAATTAATTGGTAAATAAATCCATAAAAATAATGATCAAGGCTAAATTTTCGTTCAAAAAGATTAGTTAGGTTAAATAGTTGTCAAAATTGACAATTTGAAGGAAAATATTTGGTTGCTAAGAAACGGAATCAATGAGATGTTTGTGGTGACCTTGAATTTTTGCTATTTTACCGGTTTTATTACGTAATTTAGATTTAATCTGAGATTTTTCGCAAAATTAATCGTCTCGTTAAGAACTTGAATAAAAAATTTATTAAAAAAAAATTAGGAAAAAAATATTTAAATAATAAATAATGATTTAAATGTTCCACCCCCATCTAGCGGGAATCGCTTATATTAACTATTTTTGACGTTTATTAAATATAAATTTTCAAAAAAAAAGGTTAATTGGACCGAAATATCGCTCAAAATACGTTTTATAACACCCAAATTGTTTATTTATAATCATTGTGGGGTTCATGAAGCGATATTTTCTCCTTATTAATCGGGTGAATTTCGACCAACCCCATCTAGGGGTGATTATTTGTATTAAATAAATTTTTGACGTTTTAACCTCTCCGATTATGTCACCCTAAAATTGTGTTTTTACGAAAAAAGAAGTTTGTTTGAGTCCAAATTCTCATCAAAATCCGTTTTTGGAAGCGCAAATTATGTGTTTAAAGTGATTTTGGGTTCTACGAAACACTTTTCCCCCTCAAATTAATCAAGTAAGTTTTCGTTGAAAACATAACCTAACTTTATTGTGTCAAAATTATTTTTTTTGAGATTTAAGATATTTTTGGTGGTTTATTGAGATAAAAAGTGAGTTACTTGGTTTCAAGCTCTCAAGATGTTCAATATACTACATATAATTGATTGTATGATAATACTTTATTTCTGCTTAAGTCTTAAATGTAGCACCTCGGGTTGTATCTCTGCTTTTAATGTTAAGAGATTCGGGTTATTCTAAGATATGATCACGACAAAAACAAGACTCATAGAAAAATTATTTATTATCCACAAATTCAGAAAACTCTCATGGTGGCAAAAGGTGGCTTGGAAAAAATAGTCAAAAAGTGTCTAAACGCTTGTTAGGTGTTTTTGAAGACTCCCTGAGGGTTTTTAAAGATGTCAAAATATCACCAAACGATTTTTAATGATTTCTTGCATTACCTAAACATTTGTAATGCAATGATTATCAAAATATGTGATTATAAGAAGTGTCTAAACACTTTTTGGACACTTTTGGAGATTTTTAGATGATATATATAGATGTCAGAAAGGGTTTAGACACTTTATAATCATTTCTTTAGTTACCTAGATGTTTTTATATCTTTCCAAAGTTATGAAAAAGTGTCTAAATGCTTTCTATGTGTTTTAGATGAGATCTGGAGGATATTCATAGATGTCGAAATGTCCCCAGAAGCTTTCTAAACATTTACTTAGTTACTAAGACGTTTATATGAATTTCCAAAATTGTCAAAAGCTGTCTAAACGCTTACTGGGTACTTTTAGAGAGTCCCAGATGATGCTTATAGATGTCAGAAAGACTATAGACACTTTTTAAACGTTTCTTTAATTGCCCAGAGGTTTCTATGAATTGCCAAAATTATCAAAAAGTGTCTAAACGCTTTCTATCTATTTTTGGAGACTCCCAGGTGACATTTATAGATATAAAAATACCTTTTTTTACTTTATAGAACCACATGCTCCCCCTTTTAGCTACCTAAACGGTTGAGATCGTCAAAAAAATTACACACTCCGTTGATTTTGGGGTTAAAATTTGAACAAAAATTACCATAAACGCAGGGGTGTTTTTTTTGTTCTTTTATCACCTTATTAAACTGTATATCCGCTTTATTTAATCATCTACAGCTGTACATAAAGATTGTTTATATCATAAATAACTTAAAATATAAAAAAAAAATATTTTGTGATTTTTTTAAAATCTTTTTTTGTAAGTTCTTGTAAGTTTGAAGAAATAATAACATCGTTATGGTAAAGGGGTCAATATAGAGACAATTTTTTCGTTTCCGCCGTTGCTCCGGGTAACGAAACTTGTAAAGTGGGGATGAATTTGTTACAGAAAATCAGTTATTTGTGCGCGGTTTATTCGATTAGGTGCTAAATCTATTCTAATTTAAACAAAAAAAAAGTTGTTAAAGTTAATTTCTTTTTTAACCATGTAAAATTAAAATAAATCGTTTTATAACAATTAAGTTCATAAAAAAAATGGATTTAAAATTTTTTTTGGTTGTTTAAAAAAATAACAAAATGGGGGAAATTAATTCTCCTTAAACAATTTTTTTTTAATTTGATTTCACAAAATTATGGAATATTCTTGGAATATGGAGGAAGAGAGGCAAAATAGGTCTAAATCGCAAACTGGTATGATTTTTGATTTTAACCTAAATTTTTTTTTGATTTAGTTGAGTTAACTAATTATTTTTTTTTTTTTATTTTAATTAAAATCAATCTTAAATGAATTAATTTAGGAGGAAAATCTTTAAAGTATTAATCACGCATTAAATCGCCATGGTTACATCAACAAAGTAATACGTAAATCCCTTATTGACAAAACTTTGTCGAGATTTAGCACGGAATTTTTCCCTTTCGATATAGATTTTATTTTAAATCCTAAACCAAATCAAAATTACTCAAAAAAATATTAATAATTAATCAAAATTAATCAAAAAATTATATTTTTAATTTTTTAACCTCACTTTTTTTGACGTTTTAATTCTTATACTTTTATATACATGGTGTTTATAAAAATCGTTTAAAATCACCCAAATTTGAGTTACTTCCGGTTATAAACTTCCAGGAAATTCAACTTTATTAAAAATTTTTGCTATATTTTGAATCGTCTTTAAAAACCGTTTAAGATTATGCGAAACCCCACGTTTCTATCTTTTTAAATCACCCAAATTGGGGTTACTTCCGGTTACCAACTTCCGGAAAAATAATTTTTTTTGCAAATTTCTAAGAAAATCGTAATTATCGTTGAAAATATTGTGGTATGACACCATCAACGACGTTTCAATGTTTAAAAATAACCTATATATGGGTTACTTCCGGTTATCAAATTCCGGGAAAATTAATATTATTAAAATTTTTTGAAAAATTCATGATCCCCTTCAAAAATCATTTAATATGACCTTTTTTGTATATTAAAACAACCGATATTAGGGTTACTTCCGGTTATCAACTTCCGGAAAAATAATTTTTTCTATAAAATTCTAAGAAAAACGTAATCTTCATTAAAAATCCTATCATATAACACCATTAACGACGTTTCAATGTTTAAAATTAAGCGAAAATGGGTTACTTCCGGTTATGAACTTCCGGAAAAATTAAAATTTTTTAAGATATTTGTTATTTTCATTACAAATACTGCATTTTCACACAAGGCACAACATTTTGCTACTTGAAAATTATGCGATAAAGGGTTACTTCCGGTCATTAATTTTGAAAAAAATTAAATTTATTAAACAATTTCAAGAAATTCGTCATCGTCATTAAAATCCCTTTAAAACCATCCCAACCTCGATGTTGTATCGCTAAAAATAACCGAGATATCGTTACTTCCGGTTACCAACTTCCGGTTTATTAACTTTGAGGTAACCCCATCGAGTTTGGGCTCATTTCAAAGCAATTTTAATTTTCTATCATTCAGTAACCATAAAAATTAAATTTAATCCCATTTATAATCTAAAAATTCTTTTTTTCGTACTTTAGCAGCTATAACAACGTTGTATTTGATCGAAACGGTACATAAACACCATTTTTTTAACAAATTCGTTATTTTTTTACAAATACTGCTTTATAACATCAAACGCAACATTTTTCTATTTAAAAATTACGCGATAAAGGGTTACTTCCGGTCATTAATTTTGAAAAAAATAATTTTATTAAACAATTTCAAGAAATTCGTCATCGTCATTAAAATCCCTTTAAAACCATCCCAAACTCGATGTTGTATCGCTAAAAATAACCGAGATATCGTTACTTCCGGTTACCAACTTCCGGTATATCAACTTTGAGGTAACCCCATCGAGTTTGGGCTCATTTCAAAGCATTTTTAATTTCCTATCATACAGCAACCATAAAAATTAAATTTAATCCCATTTATAACCTAAAAAATCTTTTTTTCGTAGTTTTACATCTATAACAATTAATTTTTTTTAACAAATTCGTTCTCTTTGTTACAAATAGCACTTTTTAACCTCATTTTGTTTGTGACGTTTCAATTCCAATACTTTTATATACAGGGTGTTTATAAAAAATAATTTTTTTAAATTCTATTTTTAGAAAGAAGTTCCGAATTTATAGGAATCGACAACGAAGGATTAGATTTCGATCAATTAGAAGCCTTCATCAACAGCGACGCATCCCAAAATAACCCCGGAAATTATTTTGGTGAAACCCTCCCAAACCCGGCGGGAAAAATCTTAAACGTCATCGTTGAATCGAAACGAAACGGGTAAATAATCCCAATAAAATCAAAATCATTTCATTAATTAAAACATTTTTTAGGCATTCCCTCCCGGAATCCCCCCCAGATTCGAGCTCTGAGCACCCATACAGCCCGCAAGAAACGTGCGAGCAAATCTCAACCCCATCCGATGCGATTTACTCGACATTAGGGCACCAACAAATTTATAAACCGACACTTTTAAACCCGATTTTAAGCAACAACTTAATAATCGACTCCCACATCGTCGTTTCGGACTCAAACCCCGAAGGATTATTAGAAAATGGGGCCCTCCTACAAGATATTAACCGCGCTATGTTACAAAGCGACGAAAACTACGTCGAAAGGAATCGAAATAACGATTTATTATTGGTTAAGAACCCCGATTTGGTTCATATCGGGGGTTACAACGACTTAAATTGCGACCCAACCCCCCCAAACATCGTGGAAGGAATCCAACAAACCGTTTATACAAATTTACAAAACGCCCCTAAGAAAAGGAAGTTATCCCAGCAACAAGATGTTCCTTTAGTTAAAAGCGAACCGGAACATTGCTCCCAAAGCCCTCCAAGTAATCTAAATGGGTCCATTGATGATGAATTTAGCGCATCAGAAAGCTGTTTGAATGATTCTCAATATCAATGTATTCGGTTTACTCCGTTCCAACAAAACGTTTGGCACGCGCTTTGTGATCAAAATTTAAGCGAATTGCCGGTTCCTCATTACCGGGTTGATGCTGATAAAGGATTTAACTTTTCGAACGCGGATGACGCCTTCGTTTGCCAAAAGAAGAATCATTTCCAAATAACTTGCCACGTCCAGTTATTGGGGGACGCCCAATTCGTGAAAACGTCGAAAGGGTTCCAAAAAATTACAAGTTTTCATTTGCACTTTTATGGAGTTAAGCACGATTGTCCGACGCAAACGATCCGCGTTGAGCAGAGTCAAAGCGATCGGAGTAAAAAGCCGTTTCATCCTGTATTGTAAGTTATAATTACGTTAATTAAGAATTAAAATAACGTTCTATTTTCCCTCTAATATGTTCAACAGGGTTGAGTTGGTTGGAACGCAAGTTACTAAAGTAACCGTGGGGAGGTTACATTTCAGTGAGACTACCAGTAATAATATGAGGAAGAAGGGGAAACCCAATCCGGAACAAAGATATTTTCAGGTTAAAATGATTTATAAGTTATTTTAGTTAAATAGTTTCATAAATAAGCGTACTTCCGGTTATTACCTTCCGGGAAAATTAACTTTATTAACGTTTTTTGTTATATTTTTAATCTTACATAAAAATTGTTTAATATTATGCGAAATTCCGCATTTCTATCTTTTTAAATAACCCAAATTTGGGGTACTTCCGGTTATCAACTTCCGGAAAAATGAATTTTATTAAAATTTTTTGTTATATTTTTAATCTTCTATAAAAATAGTTTAAAATTATGCAAACTCCCACGTTTCTATATCTTTAAATCACCGAAATTTGGGTTACTTCCGGTTATCAATTACCAAAAAAATTAACTTTATTAAAATTTTTTGTTATATTTTTAATTTTGACTAGAAATCATTTCAAATTATGCGAAGTACTATGGCTCTATCTTTATAAATAACCGTGTTACGGGTTACTTCCGGTTATTAACTTCCTGGAAAATGAATTTTATTAAAAATTTTTGTTATATTTTTAATCTTCTATAAAAATAGTTTAAAATTACGCAAATTTCCACGTTTCTATATCTTTAAATCACCCAAATTTGGGTTACTTCCGGTTATTAACTTCCGGGAAAATGATTTTTATTAAAATCTTTTTTTATATTTTTAATCTTCTATAAAAATCGTTAAAGATTATGCGAAACTCGATGTTTCTATCTTTTTAAATCACCCAAATTTGGGTTACTTCCGGTTATCAGCTTCCGGAAAAATGAACTTTATAAAATTTTTTTATTATATTTTTAATCTTTACTAGAAAAGCTTTGAAATTATGCGAAGCACTATGGTTCTATCTTTATAAATAACCGTGATACGGGTTACTTCCGGTTATTAATTTCCGGAAAAATATTTTTTTTTACAAATTTATGAGAAAATCGTTGTTTTCATTAAAAACCATTTGATACTGCATCATCAACCGCGTTTAAATGTAAAAAATAACCTATATATGGGTTACTTCCGGTTATCAACTTCCGGGAAAATGAATTTCTTTAACAATTTTTATCAAATTCGTAATCTCCATTATAAATACTCCATTTTGACACCAATGATAACATTTTTATATTTAATAATTAATTGATAAATGGTTACTTCCGGTTATCAACTTCCGGAAAAATGAGTTTTATTAAAATTTTTTGAATATATCGTTATCTTCGTTGAATATTATATAATTTGAGACCATTACGATTGATTTTATATCTAAAAATAACCGTTAAAGGGTTACTTCCGGTTATCAACTTCCGGGGAAATTAATATTATTAAATTTTTTTAACAAATTCGTTATCTTCACCACAAATAATGCATTATAACTCCAAAAATTACATTTTTCTATTTAAAAATGAAGCGATAAAGGGTTACTTCCGGTTATCAACTTCCGGGGAAATTAATTTTAATAATTTTTTAAAATAAATTCGTCATCTTCACCACGAATAATGCATTATATGTCCAAAAATTACATTTTTCTATTTAAAAATGAAGCGATAAAGGGTTACTTCCGGTTATCAACTTCCGGGGAAATTAATTTTAATAATTTTTTTAAGTAAATTCGTCATCTTCACCACGAATAATGCATTATATGTCCAAAAATTAAATTTTTCTATTTAAAAATGAAGTGATAAAGGGTTACTTCCGGTTATCAACTTCCGGGGAAATTAATATTATTAATTTTTTTTAACAAATTCGTTATCTTCATTACAAATATTGCATTTTGACACAAAACTCAACATTTTTTCGTTTTAAAATGATACAAGAAAGGGTTACTTCCGGTCATCAACCATTAAAATAATAAATTTTCTTAAATAATTTCAAGAAATTCCTCATCTTCATTAAAATCCCTTTAATACCATCCCAAACTCGATGCTGTATCACTAAAAATAACCGAGATATCGTTACTTCCGGTTACCAACTTCCGGTTTATCAACTTTGTGATAACCCCGTCGAGTTTGGGCTCATTTCAAAGCATTTTTCATTTCCTATCATACAGGAACCATAAAAATTAAATTTGTTCCAAATTGTAACCTAAAAAGTCTCTTTTTCGCAGTTTGGCAGCTATAAGAGCGTTATATTTGATCGAAATGGTACACAAGCACCATTTTATTAACAAATTTGTTATTTTTTTTACAAATACTGCATTATAACACAAAGCGCAACATTTTTCTACTTTAGAATGATGCAATAAAGGGTTACTTCCGGTCATCAACTTAAAAAAAAATAAATTTTATTAAACAATTTCAAGAAATTCCTCATCTTCATTAAAATCCCTTTAATACCATCCCAAACTCGATGCTGTATCACTAAAAATAACCGAGATATCGTTACTTCCGGTTACCAACTTCCGGTTTATCAACTTTGAGATAACCCCGTCGAGTTTGGGCTCATTTCAAAGCATTTTTCATTTCCTATCATACAGCAACGATAAAAATTAAATTTAATCCAATTTATAACCTAAAATCTCTTTATTTGCGGTTATCAACTTCCAGAAAAAAATTTTTTTTACAAATTTATATCAAATAAACAACATTTTTACACTTATAATAATAATCTTCTAATATTAACTTTATTTTAGTTAGTTGTAGGTTTGCACGCGCACACAACTCACGGGGATTTCCCCGTAATAAGCCACGCAAGTCAAAAAATAATAGTTAGAGCCTCAAATCCCGGTCAATTTGAAAACGACGTTGAGTTAATATGGCAAAAAGGACAAACACAAGTAAGTTTAAATCAAATTAATGAATCTAATTAATTTTAATAAAATCTTTGAATTAATTAGGACTCAGTTTTCCACGCGGGAAAAGTTGGAATCAACACCGACCGCCCAGATGAAGCCTTAGTGGTCCACGGGAACCTAAAAATAACCGGCCACATCATCCAACCCAGCGACATCCGCGCAAAAAAGAACATAGTCGATTGCGATACCCGACAACAACTCCAAAACGTTCAAAAATTACGCGTTGTCCGCTACGAATATGACTCGGAAATCGCGTCAAAACTCGAAAGATCGTCAGGAAACATGATCGACACTGGAGTTATAGCCCAAGAAGTAGCTGAGATTTTACCCGAGGCTGTTAGCCCGGCGGGAAATTTAATCCTCCACGATGGGACGTCGATTGATAACTTTTTAGTCGTGAATAAAGAGAGGATTTTTATGGAGAACATCGGGGCGGTGAAGGAGTTGTGTAAAGTCACCGATAATTTGGAGAATCGAATCGATCAGTTAGAAAAGATTAATCGCAGGTTGAACAAGTTGAAACGAGGCGATAGTTTGAAATCGAACAGTACAATTGGAAGTGGAAATACGATGAAGCACGTGCAACATTCGAAGAAATGTTTTAAACATCATAAATGTATCGAGGAGAATGAGTTGTGCTCCACGAAGTTTATACAGGTTATAATCGTCGTTTTGATCTTGATTATGGCGTTTTGGTAAGAAAAAAATAATTTTTTACTCATTAATTATCAAAAAAAGTTAGTTTTTTGTTATATTTTTAATCCTCTATACAAATTATTTAAGATTATGCGAATCCCCACGTTTTGATCTTTATAAATGACCCAAAAATGGACTACTTCCGGTTATTAACTTCCGGAAAAATGAATTTTATTAAAATTTTTTGTTATATTTTTAATCTTGTTTACAAATTATTTAAGATTATTCGAAATCCCACGTTTCTATCTTTATAAATGACCCAAAAATGGGGTACTTCCGGTTATCAACTTCACGGAAAATTAATATTATTAATTTTTTTTGACAAATTCGTTATCTGTATTAAGAATCTTGTCATATAATACCATTAACGACGTTTCAATGATTAAAATCAAGCTAAAATAGGTTACTTCCGGTTATCAACTTCCGGCAAAATTGGTATTATTAAAATTTTTTGGAAAATTCGTTATTTTTATCCAATATGCTTTAATACGACATCATTAATAGCCTTTTTATTCATTAAAACAACCGATAAAAGGGTTATATCCGGTTATCAACTTCCGGAAAATAAATTTTTTCTATAAATTTCTAAAAAAATCGTAATCTTTATTAAAAATCTTGCCATATCATGTCATTAACGACGTTCCAATGATTAAAATCAAGCTAAAATGGGTTACTTCCGGTTATCAACTTCCGGAAAAATTGGTATTATTAAATTTTTTTGACAAATTCGTTATCTTTATCAAATATCTTTTAATACTACACCATTAATAGCGTTTTTATTTATTAAAACAACCGTTAAAAGAGTTACTTCCGGTTATCAACTTCCGGAAAATAAATTTTTTCTATAAATTTCTAAAAAAATCGTAATCTTTATTAAAAATCTTGCCATATCATGTCATTAACGACGTTCCAATGATTAAAATCAAGCTAAAATGGGTTACTTCCGGTTATCAACTTCCGGAAAAATTGGTATTATTAAATTTTTTTGACAAATTCGTTATCTTTATCAAATATCTTTTAATACTACACCATTAATAGCGTTTTTATTTATTAAAACAACCGTTAAAAGAGTTACTTCCGGTTATTAACTTCCGGAAAATAAATTTTTTCTATAAATTTCTAAAAAAATCGTAATCTTTATGAAAAATCTTGTCATATGATGTCATTAACGACGTTCCAATGATTAAAATCGAGCTAAAATGGGTTACTTCCGGTTATCAACTTCGCGGAAAATTAATATTATTGATTTTTTATGACAAATTCGTTATCTTTATTAAGAATCTTGTCATATAATACCATTAACGACGTTTCAATGATTAAAATCGAGCTAAAATGGGTTACTTCCGGTTATCAACTTCCGGAAAAATTGGTATTATTAAATTTTTTTGGCAAATTCGTTATTTTTATCAAATATGCTTTAATACGACACCATTATTAGCCTTTTTATTAATTAAAACAACCGATAAAAGGGTTACTTCTGGTTATCAACTTCCGGAAAATAAATTTTTTCTATAAATTTCTAAAAAAATCGTAATCTTTATTAAAAATCTTGTCATATGATGTCATTAACGACGTTCCAATGATTAAAATCGAGCTAAAATGGGTTACTTCCGGTTATCAACTTCCGGAAAAATTGGTATTATTAAATTTTTTTGGCAAATTCGTTATTTTTATCAAATATGCTTTAATACGACACCATTATTAGCCTTTTTATTAATTAAAACAACCGATAAAAGGGTTACTTCTGGTTATCAACTTCCGGAAAATAAATTTTTTCTATAAATTTCTAAAAAAATCGTAATCTTTATTAAAAATCTTGTCATATGATGTCATTAACGACGTTCCAATGATTAAAATCAAGCTAAAATGGGTTACTTCCGGTTATCAACTTCCGGAAAAATTGGTATTATTAAATTTTTTTGTCAAATTCGTTATCTTTATCAAATATCCTTTAATACGACACCATTAATAGCCTTTTTATTAATTAAAACATCCGATAAAAGAGTTACTTCCGGTTATCAACTTCCGGAAATTAAATTTTTTGTACAAATTTCTAAGAAAATCGTAATCTTCATTAAAAATGTTATTATATAATGTCATTAACGACGTTTCAATGATTAAAATCGAGCTAAAATGGGTTACTTCCGGTTATCAACTTCCGGAAAAATTGGTATTATTAAATTTTTTTGTCAAATTCGTTATCTTTATCAAATATCCTTTAATACGACACCATTAATAGCCTTTTTATTAATTAAAACATCCGATAAAAGAGTTACTTCCGGTTATCAACTTCCGGAAATTAAATTTTTTGTACAAATTTCTAAGAAAATCGTAATCTTCATTAAAAATGTTATTATATAATGTCATTAACGACGTTTCAATGATAAAAATCGAGCTAAAATGGGTTACTTCCGGTTATCAACTTCCGGAAAAATTGGTATTATTAAAATTTTTTGACAAATTCGTTATCTGTATCAAATATCTTGTAATACCACACCATTAATAGCCTTTTTATTTATTAAAACAACCGAAAAAAGGGTTACTTCCGGTTATCAACTTCCGGAAAATAAATTTTTTGTACAAATTTCTAAGAAAATCGTAATCTTCATTAAAAATCTTGTTATATAACGTCATTAACGACGTTTTAAAGTTTAAAAATAACCCATTTATCGGTTACTTCCGGTTGTCAACTTCCGGAAATATAAGTTTCGTTAAAAATTTTTAAATGTATCGTTACCTTCGTTGAATATCCGGTAATTTGAGGCTATTAAGATTGATTTTATACTTACAAATAACCGGTAAAGGGTTACTTCCGGTAATCAACTTCCGGGAAAATTAACATTATTAAATTTTTTTAATAAATTCGTTGTTTTCATCGCAAATACAGCATTATGAGGCCAAACGCAACATTTTTCTATTTAAAAATTAACCAAAAAGGGTTACTTCCGGTTATCAACTTTCGGGAAAATTAAATTTGTTTAACAAATTCTTCATCTTCATTAAAATCCATTTAAAACCATCCAAAACTCGATGTTGTATCTCTAAAAATAACCGAGATATCGTTACTTCCGGTTACCAACTTCCGGTTTATCAACTTTGAGATAACCCCATCGAGTTTGGGCTCATTTCAAAGCATTTTTTATTTCCTATCATATAGTAACCATGAAAATTAAATTTGTTCCAATTTATAACCTAAAAAATCCTTTTTTCGCAGTTTGGCAGCTATAACAACGTTGTATTTGATCGAAACGGGACACAAGCAACTTCCCCAACCAAATTTGCATTTGAAACATTATTATAGTACAAATAAACCGATCCAAACCACCAAAAATCATCAAAGATGGGATTTACCTTTCAACATTCCAACAGAAATTCCATATAAAGATAACGGTAAAATCAAAATTATTTAATTTTTTATGATTTTGTATGATTTTCGTTTTATTAGGAGTAGAAAAAGCAATAGAAATAACCCCAATTGATAAAGAATTTTCAAAAATAATAGGTAAACCCATCGATTGCGCTAACTTCGATGATTTGGACCCAATTAATTCTTGCACTGTAAGTAATTTTAATATTATTGATTAATTAATTGAATTAAACAATTATTTCTTTTTAGTCATTCTGTTGTACCACAATCATTGAAAAATCAATTGGATCACACCTCACATTCAAAGAGAAATCGTCTAAACCGACCAAAAATAAAACATTAACCTCCCAATTAGAAAAAACCAACAAAATAACGAAACTTCCTCACAAAACGCGTCAAAAAAGAGACGTTGATGACATCAACGACAAAGAAAACACCTACGATGGGACCCCAGATGAAACGAACCCCCTTCGAATTACAATTCAAGGCAAAAACTTCAGTACCGACATCACGCGTGATTATTTATTGGAAGAGGATGGATTGGGGATGTCCAATTTTACGTACGACGTTCCAATTTCGAAGTATATGCCCGATTCGTATGTGAGAGTCGTGTTTAGGGCGCATCAAAGGAACGTGGTGGTCGAGCAGTGTCACTCGACGCGGTTAAGGCCGTGTTCATCCCCAATGATGAGTCCAAATGAAAATAAGACGCAAAACGGGGGATATACGGTGGATGAGAACGTTCCTGTTCAAATGATTAATGATCATGTTTTCGTTTTTGAGGTCGATATGACGGATTCGCAAGCTAAAATTATGACTTATAGGCATACACAACGACAGAATCAAGTAAATTAAATCAATTTATTAATTATTAATTAATTAATTCCTTTTTTTTGTGTTTTAGAATATTTGTAAGATTTCTCCTTCGAAGCTCGGACTTGAATTCACAGAGTACAACTTTAAATTTTACCGACCTTGCGATGAATAACTTTTAAACGATAAATTTAGTTTTATTATGTGATTATTTTCGTGTAGATATTTTTTTAATTACGTTGAGGTGCATTACGATTTAATTAAATTTAGGGTGCAATATAAGATGTTTTAAGTAAGCCGATCTCTCTCCTTTCATTGTAATTAATTTCCGTTTTTATTTAATACGAATTAATTAAGTTAAGATGTACTTAATTAAAATAAAAATAAATTCCGTCCGATTTAGAAAGTAAGGTTAGATACAAATAGGAATTAGAGTTATTAGTAATTTCTAGTCTAATTTTGTTTAAATAAAAACATCACTTATTATTATAAAATATTATTTTAAAAATAAATATTTTAGAAATTAATTTAAACTTTTTTAGTAAAAATCATTAAAAATTTCGAGGTTATGTCAAACGTCACTTTGACGTTTTAATAAAATAATCTTTTTTAACGATTTCTTTTTTAATTTTAATTATTTCATTAATTAAAATAAATTTTAATTTAACCTAATTGAACATAAATTTAAAAAGGAAATTAAATTTGCCTCCTAAACGAAACGAACATTGAGGTTATGTCACTATTCTTGTTGGTATTAAATCTTTAATCTTTTTAGAATGGATTATTAACGAAAAGATTGATTTAAAAAGATGAAATTTGATATTTAAAGCATTATAAGAAGGTATTTATTAACCCAATCCCTAAATTAATTGCTTATTTAAAATAAAAATCATAAAAGATATTGAGGTTATGTCAAGTGTCACGTTGACATTTAAATATTGACGTTTTAATAAAATAATAATCGTTTTTAATGATTTTCCTTTTTAATTTTAATTATTTCATTCATATAAATAAATTTTAATTACATTTTTTTTAATTCAACCCAATTAAACATAAATTTAAAAATAAAATCTAATTTCCCTTACAAAAGGAAACGAAATTTGAGGTTATGTCACTATTCTTGTTGTTATTAAATCTTTAATCATTTTAGATGAATTATTAACGAAAATGTTGATTCATAAAGATGGAAATTGATATTTAAAGCATTATAAGAAGGTATTTATTAACGCATTCCCTAAATTAATTGTTTATTTAAAATAAAAATCATAAAAAATTACGAGGTTATGTAAAACGTCACTTTGACAAATAAATATTGACGTTTTAATAAAATAATAATCGTTTTTAATGATTTTCCTTTTTAATTTTAATTATTTCATTAATATAAATACATTTTAATTACATTTCTTTTAATTCAACCCAATTAAACACAAATTTAAAAATAAAATAAAATTTCTCTAATTTCCCCCCCAAATCAAAACGAACATTAACGTTATGTTGTTCTTTTCAGAATGGATAATTAACGAGAAAATTGATTTAAAAAGTTGGAAATTAATAATAAAAAGGTATTTATTAACCCATTCCGTAAATTAATTGTTTATTTATAAGAAAAATCATAAAAAATTTCAGGGTTATGTCAAACGTCACTTTGACAAATAAATATGTATTGAAGTTTAAAATAAAATAATAATCGTTTTTAATTTTAATTATTTCATAAATTAAAATAAATTTTAATTAAATTTCTTTTAATTTAACCCATTTAAACATAAATTTAAAAATAAAATAAAATTTCCCTAATTTCCCCCACAAAATGAAACGAACATTGAGATTATGTCACTATTCTTGTTGTTGTAATATCTTTATTCTTTTTAGAATGCATAATTAACGAAAAGATTGATTCAAAAAGATGGAAATTGATATTTAAGGCATTATAAGAAGGTATTTATTAACCCATTCCCTTAATTAATTGTTTATTTATAAGAAAGATCATAAAAAATTTTGTGGTTATGTCAAACGTCTAATAAATGTATTGACGTTTAAAATAAAATAATAATCGTTTTTAATGATTTTCGTTTTTAATTTTAATTATTTCATAAATTAAAATAAATTTTGATTAAATTTCTTTTAATTTAACCCATTTAAACATAAATTTAAAAATAAAATAAAATTTCCCTAATTTCCCCCACAAAATGAAACGAACATTGAGGTTATGTCACTATTCTTGTTGTTATAATATCTTTATTCTTTTTAGAATGCATAATTAACGAAAAGATTGATTCAAAAAGATGGAAATTGATATTTAAGGCATTATAAGAAGGTATTTATTAACCCATTCCCTTAATTAATTGTTTATTTATAAGAAAGATCATAAAAAATTTTGTGGTTATGTCAAACGTCTAATAAATGTATTGACGTTTAAAATAAAATAATAATCGTTTTTAATGATTTTCGTTTTTAATTTTAATTATTTCATAAATTAAAATAAATTTTAATTAAATTTCTTTTAATTCAACCCAATTAAACATAAATTTAAAAATAAAATAAAATTTCCCTAATTCCCCCTCCAAAACAATCCGAACATTGAGGTTATGTTCTTCTTGTTATTATTTAATTCTTTTTAGAATGGAAAATTAACGAAAATATTGATTAAAAAAAGATGGGAATTGATATATTAGAGCATTGCAAGAAAGTTCGTGCGGAGCACGGCCCCCCTTATTCATGCCCAATCGAGAAATGCGGAAGAACTTACAAATCAGTGTGCGGGCTTCAATATCATTTAAAAAGTTATGATCACGATAATCCCACGCCTCAAGTCGCGCCTCCTACGACACCTAAAAGCAATAAAAAGGGTCGAGGGAATCGGGGTACCCCCTCAACGAGTAAATTACCCGAAAAAAATCTTATCCCGGAGCCGTTAACGCAAGATGAGGCCCAAAAAATGGTGCAATTCCAATTAAATAACAACCAAGTGTTTCGTGTAAACATCAATGAGGTTCTTGAAGTTTGTTCTTTGGAAGATTTCCCTCGAAATAACGATGTGGAAGAGGTTAAACCAACGGAGCATATCCCACTTCCTGAAGCGACTTACAAAGAGCTTGATTCTTATAATATTTGCGACGCCCCACCTCGCCCCAACGCCTACATAAGATTCATCGAGAAAAGTGCTGAAGAACTCGACGGTGAGGTTGAATATGACGTCGATGAAGAAGATACAGCTTGGTTATCGATTATGAACGAAAAACGCGAAGAACAAGGACTTCCCCCGGTTTCGGTGGATTCTTTGGAGTTATTAATGGATCGATTCGAAAAAGAATCGTATTTCCAAGCCGCGGTTAACGGCCAAACGGGGGCTGTCGTCGACGATGACGCCGTGTGTTGTATTTGCATGGACGGGGAGTGTCAAAACACAAATGTGATTTTATTTTGTGATATGTGTAACTTGGCGGTGCATCAAGACTGCTATGGGGTCCCCTATATCCCTGAAGGACAGTGGTTATGTCGAAGGTGTTTGCAATCACCATCTCGAGCGGTCGATTGCGTGCTTTGCCCCAATCAGGGGGGCGCTTTCAAACAAACAGATCGTAGCCAATGGGCCCACGTTGTTTGCGCGCTTTGGATACCTGAGGTGAGGTTCGCAAATACGGTTTTTTTGGAGCCGATAGATTCAATTGAGACGATCCCTCAAGCGCGGTGGAAATTAACTTGCTACGTTTGTAAGCAAAAAGGAATCGGGGCGTGTATTCAATGCCACAAAACTAATTGTTACTCGGCTTTCCACGTAACTTGCGCCCAACAAGCTGGGTTATACATGAAAATGGACACCGTCACTAAAGATGGTTGCGAAACGCAACCTTTATTAGTCCAAAAAATCGCATTTTGCGACGTTCACGCCCCCCCCGATTTTAGCGACACAAAAAAAGAAGATGTTAAATTAAAAATGAAACAAGCGAGGAAATTGCTCGCGAAAAAACGCTCCTCCGTCCCCGTAATTCTAATCCCTACAATCCCCCCAGAACGAATCCAAGAAATCGGATCGTTGGTTACAATCCAAAAAAAATCTCAATTCATTCAACGCTTAATCGCTTATTGGACGTTAAAGCGTCAATTTCGAAATGGGGTTCCCCTTTTACGCCGCCTACAAAGTAGCCAAGACGTCGCTAATGTTTATCCCGGGAATGTTCGGGATTCGGGAACTTGGAATGTTGATACGATGGAGTTAATTCGGCAATTAAAATATTGGCAGTGTTTGAGGCAAGATTTGGAACGTGCGAGGTTGTTGTGCGAGTTGGTTCGGAAGCGGGAAAAGTTAAAGGTGGAGTTGATGAAAGCGAAACAACGGTGTTTAAATGTTGAGTTAAAACCGTTGGAGGCGAGTTTGAGGAAAGTTTTGGATCTGATCGCGGCGAAAGATGTGAATGAAATATTTTTGGAGCCGGTTGATTTGGAGGAGGTGCCCGATTATACCACGGTCGTCACCGAGCCCATGGATTTGAGCACGATGACTAAGAAATTAGACGACGGGTTGTACCCCAATTTGAAATCGATCGAAATCGATTTTGAGTTGATGATTTCGAACTGTTTGGCTTATAATAATAAGGATACGGTGTTTTATAAGTAAGTAAAAAAAGATAACCTCACTTTTTATTTATTTATTTTTTTTTTTAAGGTTATGTTTTGTAGGGATTTACTTAATTCCCTAAGGCCCAAAAAATGGT